TCAACGGCGCGGTCTTCTTCGCCTTGACTTGACGCTTCTTGCGCAACTTGTTCCCTTCGGTCGCACTTACGAGGGACTTCGCATGAAATGGCAAACCCTACTAGGAGTTTAGTGCCAATCCAGACTCGCACTTACAGTCTTTCCCAATAAAGGTACTGCCCCGTATACTCACAAAAGGAGAACAGGTAGAGCTGTAGTGATGTGGAGCTGATCGGAGGGACGCTGAGGACGCTGGCTGACGACGCGGACGGCTTGGACGGCGGCGGCAGAAAAACCGGGAAGGTGCAAGATAATTCCGGCTAAGTGCGGTTTTTTGGGGGTTTCTAGGTTCTTGACGCGTTTGGCTGGGCTTTGGCGGCGGTGGCGGGACTCGGGCGGCAGGGAAGGCGGCACGAGTAAGGACAGACGCGAAGGCGGCGAAGGTTACTTGGATTCGTAACCAATTTAGTGCAAATTGGAAAGTGATTGATTAAGCCGAGGTTAAGCTAGACTACGAGGTTAAGCTAGACTACGAGAAAGTTCGATTTCCAGAAATTCATTAGGCAGCGCTAGGGCGATGTGGCTTCCATTAGCTTTCACTTGCGCAAGGCTCATGCAACATGCAGAATGGGCAGATTAGTATGACGTGGCCTTAAGGCGATGTTTGATTTGTGGATTAAATATTTCACGCCGATTTGGCTCAACAGTTGAAGCCCTCGTTCATGTCGTGGGTCGATCTTGATTCATGAGCTTCGTGGCGAGTACTTTGACAAGTTTAATTTGCATTACTTCGTGAATTTGTGAAGGGATATCGATCTACTGGGTGTTTTCGCGTATTTTTTGTTAGTACTACTACGTTTGTAGTGAACCTACTAATAGTAAAGGTTGGAACATTCTCGAGTAATCCTGGTCGGACTGGAGATGCGATGAATAGCCTCAAGCATGACCATATCACAAGTAGCTCTTGCAAGAGTTACTCTTTCCATGTGCGCCAGTGTCTCAACGATCTCCACAACACTCAACTTGAAAGAATTCCGACCTGGGAGATTTCAACGTTCGAATGTTTGACGTCGTGTATGTACTGGGAAATGTGTAACCCCATCCGACAGGACAATAAAATAAAATTCCCATCGCGATGTTATTTGTTTGCATATTTATTTTGAGTTTATTTGAAAGTCATTATGGACTTAGAATATTATTTTTCACTGCCGCCGAGATCAAATGCTGAAGGGAGGAAAATACTTCTCTCCCCCACAGGAGGAACTGACGAAAGCAAGCGCATTCACACCGCATCTGCAGCTTCGGAACTCATGGCCCAAATGAAGACCTGCCACTTCAAACTTGTCCTTATCGGAGACACCGCTGTTGGAAAGTCATGCCTCGTTGTCCGGTTCGTGCGAGACGAGTTCTTTGAGTTCCAAGAGCCGACAATTGGAGCGGCGTTCTTGACACAAACCGTCAGCATGGACGACGGGGTGACCGTCAAGTTTGAGATCTGGGATACCGCAGGACAAGGTTTAGCATGAGTTGTTAGTGAAGGAGACTCATCGATATCTCTTTCCTAGAACGATATCGCAGCTTGGCACCGATGTATTACCGTGGCGCTGCTGCTGCTATTGTCGTGTACGATGTCACGAATAAGGTAAGAGGAAAGCATTTATCTCGACTACAGAATTACTGAGTGATCTTTGTAGGACTCCTTCACTGGTGCTATGTCCTGGGTTAAGGAATTGCAACGCCGTGGGGACCCCAACGTGATCATTGCGTTGGCCGGGAACAAAGCCGATTTGGAATCCCGCCGAACAGTCGATTTTGAGGTATTTCCCCGCGATATGAGAGTCATGAGCGCGTATATTTCTATAGGAAGCGCGTCAATACGCCAGCGACAACGGTATCTTGCACATGGAGACGTCTGCGAAGACTGCTGCGAACGTCAAAGACCTGTTCGTCGCAATCGCTGAACGACTCCCAAAGAACCCCCCACAACCTGAACGTGAGGCCTTCCCCATTACTGCACCGCCGAGCCAAAAGCCAGCTCGGGGCGGGTGCTGCTAAGCGAATGCTTCCTGCAGGACGCGGTGACGCTCGGACCAATTGTATTGCCTTTATATGTAGAAAAGAGTCCTCGGTAAACGCCCCGTTGAACGAGAATGATATTTTATTTCAAACATATTCTCGCAATTAGATTTGTATTTGAATGAAGCAGTACAATCAATCGCGACGCTTCTTCAGCTGCGAAACATCAAGCTTGGAATCGTCGTCAATGCCAACCGTGCGATTAATGCCGAACAAACGAACACCGTGCAATTCTGGCAATTTGGCCAAGATGAGCACCACCCACACAGGCACGTTGATCAGCAGCTGGATCGTATCGTAGTTTGACATAACACTCGCCCACAGCAACAAGACGGTCGGCACCACGATCAGGAACTTTTTTATCCACGTCCATGGCCGGCCGTCGTCAATTTGCTCGTAAAACGTCAGTTCGCGGTACTGGCCACCGAGACTCGATGGGTCTTCGTCAGGGGAGCCTTTGATCCAATGCATTGCCACGAAGGAGAAAAACCCGTGCACTATGTTGACACTCGTCCATGCCCAGTCCACAGGCATGATCGTGTGCACAATGATGTAGATGAGGAACAGGGTGATCACATAGAAGCCCATGAACCCCGGGGAGTCCATCCAGTTGACGTTTCTGTTCAGGTTTGGCTCCAGCGGCGTCGCACTGTTTTCGCGCTGCATGCCCTCGTTGTCGGGTCTGAAGCAAAAGGATGAAGTTCTTCTCAATAATGCAAAGTGAATCCCAAGTAGAATGCAAAGTGAATCCCAAGTAGAATTTTGGCGAATTAAATCGCAATGTCGTTTCCTGAGCCTTTTGATTGGTTCAAACATTGTTGACTACAATGAATGATAGTATTACTAAAAGACGGCAGATTAGCGACCCTGGACGCCTCACATTCAAGCGGCCAAGTGTAGTAGGACCAAGCTACTACTAGTGATACTAACATACCCACTGGTTTTTGAATCCTCGTTGCGCACACGCACGACCAACATGGCATTCTTGAAGGCAACACTGGTAGGCGAGTTGCAAGTCATGGCGACGACATTGCAGAGACTGACTATGCGATAGGGGAACGATCTGTCAAAGCGCATCGAAGAAGCTAAAATCCTCGTCGTTGGTGCCGGCGGGATCGGTACAATTTGCTTGCTAAACCTCAATGCCTGACAAACTTTTCAGGATGCGAGCTGCTCAAGAACCTGGTGCTAAGTGGCTTTGGAGACATTACCGTCGTGGATTTGGATACAATTGATGTGTCCAACTTAAACCGTCAATTCCTGTTTCGATCCCACCATGTGGGCCAAAGCAAGGCGGAAGTGGCCAAGGAAGTGGCCCTGCAATGTACGCTTTCATTCGCTCTCAAACGAGTATATGACGGAAGATGTAGTCAACCCACGAGTCAAGATCACGGCTTACCACGAAAATATCAAGTCGAGTCGGTATTCGATCGAGTACTTCAAGCAGTTCTCTCTTGTCATGAATGCATTGGACAACGTTGACGCGCGAAAGCACGTGAACCGCATCTGCTTGGCGGCACATATCCCGCTAATTGAAAGCGGCACGACGGGATATCTTGGTCAAGTGTCTGTGATCATGAAGGGCGACACCGAATGCTACGAGTGCACGGAGAAGGCGACGTCCAAGGTATATCCTATCTGCACAATTCGCAGCACGCCGGACAAAATGGTCCATTGCATTGTGTGGGCCAAGGAGTGTTTCAAGTTGCTCTTTGGAAAGATGGAGGACTCGATGCTGTGGGAGGACCCCCTCAACGATGACAAGTCGGCGTATATCGACCTGGTACTAGCGAAAGATGTATCCGCACAAGAGTACGCGACGAATGTCTTCCAAGGGTTGTTTGAGTTCGAAATCCAGAAGAAACTTGACATTAAAACGTACAAGACTGCCAAGTACCAACCGACCCCCGTCTTCTTTAACAAACTCGATCTCCCCGATCTTTCCAAGGACGAGAAAACCCGGGGGTGGAACGATCGCGTGCTGTGGACCTTGGAAGAATGTGCCGCTCACTTTATCCAGAGTACCGCGTGCCTTCTCGCGAACCCGGATGTGGGTTTGCTCGAGTTTGACAAAGACAACGCCGATGCGCTCGAGTTTGTGACAGCAGCGGCCAACTTGCGCGCACACGTGTTTGGGATTTCATTGGAATCCATGTATGCGTGCAAAGGGATCGCAGGCAACATCATTCCCGCCATCGCGACAACCAACGCCATCGTGGCCGGACTGCAGGTTCTAGAAGCGTTTAAAATCCTTCGCAACAATGGTCAGCAACCCATCCATGCCGCGTGCCGGTACACGTACTGCAATCGGTCATGGGACAGCCGAGGCGTACTACTGACTCCCGTGGCACTGTCCCATCCGAATCCCAAGTGCTTTGTCTGCTCTCGTCAATTGGTCGACCTCGGCCTCAACGTCCACAAAACAACCTTGCAGCAATTTGTGGACAACGTTCTCAAGAAAAAGATGGGCGTGAACGAGCCCACAATCTCGATCGGGTCCAACACCATTTACGAAGAAGGCGTAGACGCCGAGGAGTCGCTGACTGCGAATCTGGCGAAGAAACTGACCGAGTTGCCTGGTGGTGGTATTGTCCAAGGCACGGTGGTGATCGTTGAGGACTTTTCTCAGGACTTTACCTGTTCAATCTCGATCCACCACGTTGCCACGAAAGACGAAGTTGTCTATTTGCTCGGCAGCGAATGGCACAAGCACAACGAAGAAAGCGCGACCCACGACGACAATGAAGTGACTGAAGTCTCAACGGACAAACGAAAGAAGTCGATGGACGAAGTGTCTGCCTCGCCAGCGTCCAAGCGTCCTAGAGCGTAGTGTCTGCATTACACTTAACGTATACATCCGTCTTTGTAAATCACCTTTCCAACGACATACTGCCAAGTAGACACATTTTAAACGAGAAAAGCTGTGATGGCCCATTGGAAAAGTGGACGTAGTGCAACATAATCCGTATTGGACTACGACTGTCGGCATATATGGATCACAAGGAGATGGACGTCAATCACACCGCTGCAAATGCATAATCGAAGAGTGAATTAATTCATTTCGCTGGGGTCGAACACGTTTCAAGGGCTTACGGGATCGGCTTAATCTGCAATACACACGTGATGAATACACTCACGACATGACGTGGCAAGAGTTCCCACCTTGAAGTGGAGCGTGATCAGGGAAAACACAAAGCACTTCAAGTCTTGGACGAGGTAGTAAAATACGCGAAGGCCCTCGGGGTCGTTACTGTCTTGGACGTCCAACAACGAACCAATTTTTGCACACTATCCACCTCACATGACACCTTCGTTACACAAATCAGTGTACCGTGAAGCAAATGTGTTCGTCATTGTGGACAATCTCGAGCTCCTGCTTTCCGACGCGGTCGCTTTCAGGCCACTTGGAATCGTCTTCCCTGCACACGGCGTGAGGAATACTGCAATGAAACGAAATACATACTTGATAATCTCGCTGGTGTCGATGATGCGCTTCACTTCGTCAATCACAGACTGCGACAAAGTCACTAACGCATACACAAATGAGCCGAACGTGAGGCATCACCGCGGATCTGCATCTCAATGCACCTTCTTTCTTGATCAACGTGTCGTTCTTGTAGTTGGAGTTGTTGGCGTATCGGAGCTTGCCATCGGCATGGAACTCGAATTCCATGTATTCGTGGCCGAACTTGCCCTTGTGTCCGACACTATCGAGGCATGTTAGACAGATTGTAGCTCGTGTGGGGCGTACTAGTAGCGCAGGTAGAAGTCATCCGATGCTGGCATCTTGATGGAAGGGTTACCACAGAAGGAATATCCAGCCTCCCAATTCAGTCTAGTAGCCTCGTGTAGTAATATTCCAATTTTGTAGGTACATGCGTAGTATTACTATTCATACATCGAGGGAGCTCCCTACAACCTCTCCATGCTCATCTCTCCCTTGATTCACAGGATTGGAATGGACAACTGGCGGCGCCTGTGACGTGGTCTCAACAACGCGTTTAGATGCCTCTGTAGCTACTTTTGAAAAACGCTGCCATGCTGCAGCGTGTGGAGCATAGCAGTCATGGCATCCTAACTTGGAATTACAATCCAAAATACATCCACCAAGACACGTACTGTGATGGCCTTTTCTGTCACGCTCTGCTTCCGTTTCTCGCAAAGAAACGTCAAGTACACGTTCGGGTCGATCCGAGCGACGGCATACGTGGTATTCATCTGCTTCTCGTGATGGATGGTGCTACAACGGAATGAACGCCAACCCCCCAGTCGAGGAAATACTTACATTGGCTTGGTCTGCTTCGACCCGTGCTTGTCCAGGATGTCCCACCGAGGAAGGTTCGTGAGAAGCATGATCACATTGGGCCAATGCTTTTGAATGAGTAGCGAGCTCAATTCAGCCTTGGGAAAGCTAAACACTGCACCAACCCTGTAACATTCACCTGGCGAGGCATCTCCATCCTACCTGCGGGCCACGTTCCGACGCCCCACGGCGCAGTAAATTCGCCATCGATATCTTCGTCGTAGCGAGACACTTGGCCGAAATACGTTTTGTTAGCTGCTCGAATGTGTTGCATGACGTTGAAGGACGGATCCGGCTTCTCAATGTGCGCAGGACACAGGTACCCGTTCATGTGGAATGCCGCTCCGTTGTTTGGCAGGCTGTTTGTGTTGATCACAATCGTCATGTGTGCCACGTCTTGCTCCTTAACTATACAGGTCCACTCAACTTCAATTCTGAAACGTGAAAGGCACCCCGTACAGTTTCTCGAAAAGAAGGGCTCAAGGATGTCCAATATAGGCGGCCGCAGTTGAGACTTCTGGGCAATGGATGGTGCGATCGACGCGCTTTGAATGTCATAAACTCGCAGCCACTAGCATAAACACACTGTCGGGGGGGGCGTGAGGGTGGACGGCGAGACGCACCTTGTAATAGTACGTGGTGAACTTGCGAACCAACGACTGCTGCAGCTTTCTCGCCCAGCAGAAGTTTGCAAGGACAATGGTATTGTCTAGTACGACGCAATTGGTAGCCATTGCGGGGTCCTGTGGCTCAAGGTTACCTTCAGGTACAATATTCGTCGACGTCACATCGATGGAGAGCTGACTCGACGATTTCGACAGCGAATGTGCACTTGTTGTGATGGCGACCGACGACGATTCGGCAAGTTGTTTTTTCTTCAGTTGTCGCTTCGATGGTTTATCGAAAGTAAAGGAGGATTCGCGAGGTGACGTCCCAGTGGGATTTTCCGCCACCAGGTTGAGTTTTCCAACAACAACTACGTCCTCTTCAATCGCGTGCAACCCATCGCTCCATGTTTCCATACAACTGCACGTGCTTGATTGATCCTTGCACGGCATGACCACGGATTTGGTTACCTTTTCAGTCGATGCAACATTGTAATGGACTTGATGTACTCGAAATCGGACAATGCAATCTCGCTCTCGATGGCCGCCAAAAGTGCCTTGCTCTCGAGGAGTGCAAAATCGCGAAGAGTCTGTAGGACATGACGAGAGTCATGACACGGCGTACGCACCTCGATCAATGGATGGTTCAGACTCCCCAATTCTTCCATGACATGCGCAACTTCGTCACGAATCTACCGTTCTTCGCGTGATAACTTGTGCTCATGTTGACATTATTTACCTCGTAATAATCAACTAAGAAATGGACGAAATCGGGTTCCCCCGTCAAGCCGACGTAGAGTGCCACCATCGCTTCTCGTTGCTATGCCGCCACGAGTCATGCCCTCTGGGCGGCATGAAATACTTACCGAGAACAGGACGCTACACTGCTCAAAGAATATTTGGATGTCTTGCATTCGAGAGAGCAGTGTCGGGTCAACCGGCACGATATCTTTCAAGGATTGGCCCGATTTCGGGGTCCTGATGCGGCCAAAACGATCTTCCACTCCCTCTGATGACGTCCTGGTGCTTGGATTGGTGTACAACAAGTTTAAACATTGAACAATGTGGCGCTTCAGGTGCTGGTACAGCTGATGAAGAATCGTGCCGGCCAATTTGTTGTTCGCGCCAATGAAGGCCATTTTGTGATACCTACGACTCAGAGTTAGCGCAACGCCTTCTATCGATGGGTAGCAAACCTACGTGCTATCGCAGTCTGCCCAGAAATGAAACACCTTGGCCAAATGTTTCCACTCGGGCACGTCCGCAAGCTCCGCCGGAATCACCTCTTTCGCCTAATCTCCCGCTATCATGTCAAGTTCACACATGTGGCAGGAGACTACATACGTGCATGTACTGGAACTCATTCATTGCATCCATGAAGGATGGCAGACGCTCCAGCAAGCTCGCGCATAGCTTCGAATGCAGCGTCCGCCTTCCCGACATGCTTGCAATTAAGACAGTCAAAATCGATAGTTTTTCGTCAAAAGTACCGAAAATAGTTCAAAACCATGAAAACTCACGTAAACGAACCAATTTTTTACTGTTTTTCTCTAAGAGGACCCGACATACAGGAACGTCGACGAGGCCCTGGCACCCCAATCTACCGTGTCCACGAGCTTGAGTGATGCACGTAGGCTGGATCTCTGGCTCGCAATCCAACTCGATGCGTAGGTTGAGGCAAGTGCAAGCGTCATCCTTCTTCCCTGACACTGAAGGCGACGAGTCCAGCATTCGACCGACACGGAAAGCCACGCAACTGCGCGAGTCGTCGGTCCGAGAGTACGATTCACACCTTGCTGCCTTTACCTTGAATATGTTACTAGTGAGAGCACCGCCCCACTCATTTCACTACGTCAGAACACGACCTCCCGAGAGAACGACCCGAATGCATTTTCATCGAGTGTGGCGTACGTTGGCGAGATTGAATTTCCAGCGACAAGAACGATTCTTTGGTACATTGCAACACGATCAAGCGGCATATTTTGCCACCTTATCAACTTTTGATGTAAACAGGGATCGTCGACCGCTGTCAGAACCTCAGGTCGTCCATGCAGATGACGCCTTCATCCCTACTGCCTCAATCACCCACTCTACCCTGACTTCCATCCTCAACTCCGTCGGGAACGCCACAGGCGACTTGGGTTTCATTGGGTACGTTTCGTTCTCTGAAGTCTTATCTTCGAACAAGTGGAAGCTTCAAGTCGACTCGTTCACTTGTGGTGCCTTGCCGTCCACTGTAAGTCGATGTCCCCATCCGTTTCCTTGTTCATCTTGGAAGCATTAGAAAGCGGGTTTCTGCATTGGTGTTTATTCGAGGTCGGCAGATTCAAACATGGACCAAGTAAGGCCGTGTTACTTGCGAGGCAGCTCTAACCCTCCAGAAGGCCACACCATGGCATGCTGCATTAGCTCAAGGCTTTGATAAGATGCTTGAAGCAAACAAACACTACATATCGTCTAATCTTTCCTCCTATTTATCGGTACGGGTTAATTGACTCTGGAAATGTTTTTTTATCAACTGGTTTTCACGGTTTACACACTCTGTATGTAGCTTCAGCTGATCGTGACATGCATTTCATCAGCCCACTTGGATGTCCAACTCAACGCTCTTAGTCCATCGACGTCGATGAAAATGATTCCGATCCGCAACTTGCCTCTCCTTCTGACGCCATTGGCCAAACTGTTGATGAAGGCAAGCTCGAATATCCCTCAATGGTGGGGGTACGTTACCTTGGATAAGACGCGAAAAGTTGTGCCCTTGCTACAGTCTGACCCCCTGGCCTCCACACGACCGTTGGTTGGAATATGGGTGCGAACGACCTTCCAGTCGCACGTATATTTGGCGTCGTATTTGTTCGGTCTGCACTCATCCTCCCGCCACAAGCTGTGGATTGCGCCAAGGACGTTTCTCTTGGTCAAATACCCCCTCGAATCCATGCAATGGCTGCCAGAATTCTTCGAGTGCACGCTATCTGACACAATGACTCCGGAATTTTGTACTGCGCGACAATCCTACGTACATAGTGGTTCCGATGCACCGCTGGAGCTTTCGATGTCGCGAAGTGTGTTTCCAACTGCGCTGCCTGCAATGCAGGATGCCGTTGGGGAGGTCATTGCACCGCCAATTGTTCCATGGAATGCCGACCCAACCAGAGCTGAAGACCTTACGGTCAACACCCCGATGGAAGCATCGTCCTTTGACATGCCTACACCAGTCCCCCAACCGCATCTGCCAATGCCACATCCGCACAGGAAGCCGATGTTGCCCCAGGTCAATATCGTCGAGTCCGTTCAAGAGGCCAACGGAACAATCAATCGGGAGTCCGACCTTGTGGCCCTCTTGAAGAAGCAAACCCTCATCATTGACGCTATGCAATTGGAAATCAAATCATTGCAAAATCAACTGAAAGCGCTGTCCGAGGCGAAAAAAGATGTGTGCACCGTTAGCACGAACACGTCGTTCCTTGCCGAACCAGAGACACATGAATTTCCTCGCAGCACATGTGACTCGGACAACGAGAGCGACGCCGACGACGCGGCATCGAGTGCCCCCCCTTTGGTTGGCAATGCTATCGATTCAGCCGTGACGGCTCAACGTGCACCACCAGTCGCATCACCGACAAGCGACTTTGACGTACCGCGTATTCGTATTCCAGCTGCTGCCGCTGTGGGCGAGTCGGACGACGACATGTCTGAAATCGACGCGAAGTACCTCCGATTGTTGAAATGAAACAAGACTGATTCGCATTGATGATGGCATTCGTGTTCCATACTCAGGTGTTAAAGTCTTGAGCGACCGCACAATGGAATCACGCAACACCGCGGCCTTGTAACGTCAGAGTGGCCTTGTCCGCGGCAGAGAAGGCGACCATCGACGCGGTCACATCTCTGGGCACAGCGGGGGTGAAGTAGACGGGAACCTCCACGTACGATCTAGGACGGAGGGAAATGCTCGAGTAGGAGCACGAAAATGGCGCAGACACGGGCTGGAGAAAGACCGTGATTGATTCTTTGCTTCCGTTGCAGATGCGAACAGGCAGACAATGTGAGGATCGCAAGGTGCGTGGCCCGAAGTCCAGTCTAGTTGCTTGAAAAAACAGCCCTCTTTTCCGCGACCTGGTCCTTGCTGTCGTCGACGTCGACTCGGTAGAGTAACTCATTGCCATCTCCTTGATCGATGAAGCCGTATCCACGCACGACATACTTGCATCGACCACGAGACTGATCTCGCGTGGCAAGGAGCCATTCACGATCACTGCAATCAGTCCGCACCACGCTTTGGTGTGCGAAGAGTCGGCGAGAGACACTTGAATGGTGCACTTGCCATTGGGGTGGATCTCTCCAGCGTTCGGTATCACTTGGATATGATCAAACGGACAGTTCACGGTGAAGGTGGTCGTGGTCGCGACATAGTTGAATATATCGAACGTTGCAGCTGCGCCGCTAGTCAACTTTAAATGCGTGGGCTGCACGTCAAATACATGCGGTGACGGATGGTAGTTGTGCAAGTCTTCGGCGAGAGTTGGTCGCGATGGTAGGTCCAGAGGGGTAGCCGATGCCTTCTTCACATGAGCATCCACAATGATCTCGTACGGCGTTGCCAAAGGATCACCCGACATACTTCGGAATTGAAAGATCGCAGACACAGCCCCAATTCTCGCAGCGACAAACCTGCAACAGCAGATTGGTGAGCACGCTGGCAGCAAGGCAAGGAATCCTACCGAATGACAAAGTGATCTGATGAATTTGGAGCCATTTCCAGCACAGTTGGTGCAATGACGAATTGGTTGCATCCACGGCTGAGCGGCACAATGGAGGCGCAAATGCGAGCGAATTTTGAGCTTGTGTTGCGAAACACAAACGTCTCAGAGATCTCCCCTCCAATTGTACACAGAAATCGCTTGCACAGCTTGGGTCGCTACAGGATTACCATGTCACAAGATGATTCAAAGTAGAAGCACTTACGTCCAGAGTGCGTGGGCTCGACTGTGCGTAATAGTGATCCTGCGCTCCAAGATGACATGAAGATCCAGTCATGTGGCGACACGCACCTCTCGCTGAAACATATCTGCACGGTTGGAGCGCGTGGTCGGCAGCTCTTGAGCCACCAAGCGCTGGCTTCTGAGACTAGTTGGTGTTTCTGTCGACGGATAAACCAGTTCTTCAGCGTGCATGGCTTCAGTGGAAGTAAACTCATCGCGATGTTGTTGATGAACAGCACGAGTTGATTCCGATGGAGCGGAACCCTGCAAAATTGTTGCTCTTTGCTGCCGCGTTGCATTGGTGGGCGGCAGTTCGTTCGTGGGAGTTCTGTGACGTGTTTGTCTGCCGAACTCTCCTTCTGGGGAAAGGTCAGAGTTGTTTGCATGACCAGTGGTAGTTGTGCCGCCGATGTCTCGATTGTGCTGCAAGGCTTGGTCTTTCGCCTGGCTGTACCCGTTTCGATCGGGGGCTTTGATTGTGGCTTTGGGTGAGTTGCCCAACTGTCGTTGGTTTCGTCGAGGCGATTGCGTTTGAGAAGGAGCATTGGTAGCAATAGAATGCTGCCACGAGGAGACTTCCCGATTGAAATCAGTGAAGTCAAGCCGTTCCTCAAGAGACCGATCTTCATTGACCCCATGCGTATCCCTTGCCTTTCGGTCAGTTGCCGAATTGTTGACGGATTCAGCATGGCTTGGTGCCGTTGCTGGCTGTGCACGAAGGGGTGCGTCAGCCCCGTTCGGAATTCTATTAGCACTTGGCAAAGGTGCAGAAGAGGCTTGAGCCCTTCCGTGATGTTGCCCAACGGCTTGAGAGCGACCGGTGGAAAACTCATGTCTGGCACTTCCATTCATCGGGCTCGGGCACTGTTGCCCACTTGGCAAGCGTTGAAAGAAGCCATGGTTTTGGACAGAATTTTCTGTAGCACTTTGGGTCAATGCGTTTACTTCCCCGATGGCCCCTTCACCCCGATGGTAGTCAGCAATAGCCATGGCTTCGGACACAACGGCAGCTTCCACGGCTTTTTGGGCCAAGGCGCGAAGGCGAAGGACCTCTGTGACCGAATTTTGCATTGCATTTGTTGCCTCCATCATTGCTTGGACCTATATATTTTTGTTGATCAAAGATTACGAATCGGAGGACGGACGTACGGCAACTACAGCATCCAGAGAGTGATGAATTACTTCAGACGGATGGATGGGGTTAGTCCAATTCATGTTGGCTCGGTCGGACGATGGCATTGCACTCGCCATTTGAATAGCATCGGCCACTGCTTGTGCCGAGTCATGATTAAAATTGACACGGATTGTTGATGGTAATGGCGTGTGATTGGAGCGGTCCACCAGCGAGAGTGTCTTTGCAGTGTCACCATTAATGAACGAGACATCTGCATGCTTGAAGTATACCTCGACGGTCAGGCCATTTGGATTGCGCCGTTTCTTCAACTCGAATGAGGTTTAAGGCCAACTTGAATTTTAGTCCTACCTGTTGTTCGGATGTCGCAAATCCCACAGATGGTGCGAGGCTGCCCGAAATGTCTTGCGATATTGACAAGTTGAGTTTTGAAAAAGGTTTTGGTTCTTGAACAGGCAAATTACCCGACCCCGTGCGCATCCCCTGCGCTGCTTGTCAGACATGGCACTCACAGGATCTGTAGTACATGATCGGCTTGAAAAGATGGAAAACTCCCAGTGCTTCGACCGCGCTGTGAGTCCACAACGTCCTAATTCGAGAGCATTTGCGACGAGTATGTAGCCAAGGCATTTACCTTGGCAAACATTTCCGAGCGCTTTGTTGTGCTTTCTCGTGGGCTCGTCTACTCCAGATTAGCGTTTGGTGGAAACAAGGAGAAGTAATCTTACAAGACCGCGATGGTCAGACTTGTAAAAATTGCCCCGGTTTGACGACGATTCTATCTTGGGGGTGCTGGTTTGCTGTTGAAGGATGTTAATCGTCTGTGCTTCGCCGAACAAAGTACCTACCTCCGTGGTAGACGGCGGCGCGATCGAACTGGAAATGGCTTTGTTGAGCTCGAGCGAAATCTGCTTGAATTCCTTTCACTTGATGATCATCACATGCATGGGCGAGATACGTACGTCAATATGGGCGGATGTTTCATCATCGCCAGCCCCAAACTCGACAGATTTCAAATTCCTCGACCGACGAGCAAAAAAATCTTGAGGCGACTCGATCACGTTCACGTCAAAGGAATTCTTTCGGGCGGGCGACAAGGGCTTGGTGGATGCACGGACTGAAGTTTCCGAACGCGTGATAAAGGTCGCTAGATCAATCAACTTGACAAGTCAGACCATTGATCGAACTTTCGTACCTGCGTCGACGAATTCTTCCTTGTCGAGGTCCACAAGGACAGGAGCAAGGGAGATCGATTCGGCCTGGGTTACCAAACTCTGAGTCGGTAAGAAGAGGTCCTCCAACGAGTCCCTCTTTTTCGGCTTCACTTCCTCGTTGTGATACGTTCCGTGGACAAAGAGCGGACTAGATGGACTCTTCGCAAAGGAAAAACGCTTGGAGCTCACTGACGGCGACGGCATGCGAGAGTATTTCGCGTCCATGTCAAAGCCTATGGAGCCAATGGCGTTCCATCCTTGCAGCGCTTCATCATCCATGCGTTTGAAGGAGTTTCCGGCGTTAGCCTTAAAACCATGGCCATTAGATGACGAGTTAAGTCTTCGTGGACTGCCAGAACGGTTCATTCCAGCACCGTCCATTGCCGCGCTTTGCGAGTTGTCACGCTTACTTCGGGCACAACAAATCTGTTCAAGTCAATTAAAAAAATTCAAAATTTCACACCATGATTATTTGTAGTCGCGACAAAATATTGGATTTTTATACTATACTTTGTATTGAAATCGCGAACGAAAGATCCATTGTGGTGAGGTGAGGGTTCGGATTCGGTTGAATCGGGCAGAGGAAGCAGTGGCGACCCGCGACCAAGGTCCATGCCAAGGAAGGGCGATGCGAAGTACGGCATCCAGCCACGCGAACCGGTTCAAGTAAATGGTTACGATTGTCTTCCTGCGCGTGGTGGCAAAGCAGGTGGTGATGATTATACCTGTGCTTCCCGAACATCACAAGGAACGGTTGCATCTTCCAGCGAGGATGAAAGTGAATTTGTCCCGTCCAGCACCTTTCTCGAGAGCGGCGTCTTGCACATACGCGGCAATGGAGTGGTGAGAAACGGTGATGTGCCAAACAACCCAATTACCCCTCAGAAGTTGAAGAACAACACGAAGAAGATGCAAAAGCGAAAGATCGGCACAACGGAATGCACACCCGACACGAAACGAAACAAAGGTACTCCAACGCCTGCATGGACCTCTCGTGGAGATGGGTATGCCAAGCAAGACAGCGACGATGCATCCAGTTGCGACGATTCAGACGAACACTCGACTTCAGTACTGTCCGACTTCTGTCGATGCCGTTGCCTAACAGGGATAAGTAGGGAAAGGATGCCGCGGTGGAAGAAGACTGGGTATGGAAGGAGCTCGATCAGCGCCATTTCCGCTTTCCCTCTCGAGTAAGAGCCGTTTTCTGGGGTTTTCATGTCCTGAAATGGATCGTAGAAACAACTTGCATTCTTGGAAACCCTTGATCGCGATGCAATGCATACCGTGGCATCAAACCAAGCCTTTCTCTCCCTCGCTTCTGCCATTCCATCTATGCTTCCAATGAACGGAATGTCTCCGTTGCACGTCATCGACCGGCCGCGACGCGGACGGTATTATCTAGATACTTGGGGCGAACTCGACTTCCTTGACACCTTGAAGTCGTTTGGAAAAGATGTCCAGTTTGACACGTCAGAATTTCAAGTGTACACGACCAACCACGACTTGGTGCACCAATACGACGATGACGCGTTCGAGGACTACGTGAGCAGACTGGAGAATGCCATCTCTCCCAATGCACATCTTGATGAACGAATACACGAATACCCTGCGAGCTTCGGAGGGTGTGACGGTGGCGGAGAGGTGATGTATGCATCGTTTTACGTCGTGATATGCTGACGCTGCGCCCGGTGTCGATGAAATAGATGGACGCCTGGACGTCGCAACCCGAATTGTGGGTACAGAGGACATCTCGCGAGCCAAGCGAAGTCGACGAAGTGTCAGACGTGATGGATATGTGCATAAAAGCACTGGTTAATCAATCTGCATCCAACTGTCATGCTCTGCGTCAAGTGTTTGGTACCACGGCAGCGAATGACCGCCACGGGCAACTGACCTGATTGCGCTAGATCGTGTGGCGCAAGAGACCGAACTGGAGCCCATTTTCCAACAAGAAAAATTGCTTATCACCGAGATTGAAACGTATTACCAACGTTGGAGACAGACAAAAGCAGCGTTCCGCAGTGCCTCCGTTGTGTCAGCGTGGCGTACTGCTTTAAAGTCGCAGAATTTCAATGCGGCGCAGATTAGCGCCGTTGAATTTGCCACCCGCTTTGCATCGTAGGCACGTCCTTTTCTGCGATTGCTAATACGTTGATCGTAGGACGTTGCAGCTCGGTGATGGCATTGACTTCCTCGATCACACGGGTCAGTGGGAACCTGGTTTTGTCGTTGACCTGTTTGTCGCGTCGTGCAAACTGTCGAGTTACGCCAAGATCCAGCTCGTGCGACATGGGGCTGTTTCCCAAGAGTGGTGCTGTGTCTTCAGTGGACGAATAATGCCCGCTGGCACAAATACGCAGAGGGCCGCGCCAGTCCTGGACATCAAGATTCATTCGACTCCGGCAGATGACGCCTCCGTAATTGTACATCACGAGGTATCTTTCCCCAAAGCAATCACATCGTCTCCACCTTCGGTCGATGCGCCGCTGCCTGTATCCAACGCCGACACAGTCGTGACAGACGCAGTCGAGCCGGCCTCAACCATAATCTAATAACATCATCGTGTATTTTTAGGCTTGTTTTGTAGAGGCCAGCAAAAATAGACCACTTGGTGTGGAGAAACCTGGTACATGGGATGGCGGCGCAAGGGGCCACCCACCTGCGGTGCCCTCGCGACTTGCACGAGAAAGTTGTGACCCGCACGCTTCTCGACATACCGAGCCCCAAATTGCGCAAACGCGTCCACGTGGGGTGCACGAACTTGTACTTGACAAAAGCAGCATCCGCCCCCACCCTGCATCCCACAACGCTACTTGATGAGAAGATTGACATCAATAAACTGAGCACCTTGTCGATCGTGCACCAAACAAACAAAGTCGTGGAGAGCCCTGCAGCATCCAAACCTTTGCAACTGTCCCCAGTCACGTCCCCCCCACGCCCTCACACCTCCCACGAGATGCTCAAACCAAGCAAAGATCCGTCGCTGGTTCTCGATCAGGTGATATCGATGCGTCGCGGTTCGGTCAACGGAGAAGCCTTTTCAAGTGGTCGAAGTGACGTCCTTGACGCTTTCCAGTTGGAGAAGGACAACCCCGTCACCAAGGCCATGTTTGTGAAGAACCGAGACAAAATTCGCGATCGTGTGGCGACCAAGTTTGGGTCGATGCGCGCAATGTTTCGAGCGTTCGACAACGAAGGCTCTGGTGGGATTTCGTTGGAGCAGTTTCACAAGTCGATCGGGGCACTGGGTACCCTCTATGCCGTGGCACGAATTCAGTGCTCATTTTACCCCGACGTGTTGTAGGGCTCGACATCAGCGAAGCCGACCAAGTGCTGCTTTACAAGATGGTCGACACAAACGGCAACAACTCGATCGACTTCAAGGAATTTTCCGCCATGTTCGAATCGGAACCGATGCGAAACAGCTTTGTCGACACGGGCAACAGCGCCGAGAGCTTGAAAGCGCGAATTCCACTTAAAGTGAGCCCTCGCACCAAGTGTCGCATTGAAGCATTCCAACTCGAGTTGTCCCAAAAGCTGCTGACGAAACAGGTGTCCCAGCAGGTCGCGTATGGCTCCAACTCGAAAGGTTCGTTCAATTGATGCCTGGCGTTCGTCACCCACACGACATGTTTCCAGTGTTGTTGAATGCTTTTCGCCACATGGACACGAACGGCGACGGGTCGCTGTCGTACGACGAGCTCAAAAATGCGTTGGGGCCCCAAATGCTAGACCTTGAAGTCGACCCCACGGAGCTGCAAGCAATGTTGACCACGATCGATTCCGATAAGAATGGATACATTTCATACAAGGTAGCACACCCCCATGCGTTGTGTCAGTTCATATTCCTTTGTTGCGTCGTAGGAATTCATCAAGTTCTTTTCGCTCAAGCCTGACGTCGACCAGGACGATATTTTCCACATCGGTAGACAGCGCGAACTGGAGCTGCTCGCATCCAACGCAACTCGAGATGCAAACGACCCACCTCCCCATTTCGTCAACTTTGACGAGGACAGAAAGCAATTGGAGCCCATCACAAGCCCTCGCCACATGAGGACTTTTGAAAACGAGCCTGGATGCATCCAAGAGCAACTTTCTCGCAGGACACGCGATTTGTTGAGTGTTCAAGCGCCGAAACAAGATAGTGCATTTGACATCGCTCCACACAAGTTCCCCGGCGACCTAGACGGTTTTTTTGCGTCGTTAGCACCGCTGAGTGTGTCTAAAGGCAAACACAACACGCCCATCGAATGGAGCCGCATCGGCGTCGGCGGCAACGGGGTCAACACAAAGTCGGCTTTGTATATGCCCGACACACAGCGCTTCGTCACAACAACCAACGAGCAGTACAGCCCCATGCACGGACGAAGGCCGCGAATGGGTATTCCACAACAAGACTTGGAGAAGAAGGCGATGCGCATCAAGTCTCGTTATGAGAAGACGAGCCAAAACTTATCCCGAATCGAGCACAACAAGGAGCAACGGAAGCTCCAGAGTCAATGGGAAGAGAAATCCCGGCTGCGAGCTAAGTCGAAGCAGCGCCATTCGTACAGCGACGCCATCATCAAAACGGAAGATAAGTTGTTTGAACACAAGAACAAGATGGCAAAAAAACCCGGCGGGGCTAGTTTCCATCGCATGTGGGCGGGGAGCCTGGAGTCCCAATTCAACTCGCAGCCGTGGGGGCTCTCGAAAGAGGAGTCGTCCCATGAGAACAACGACGCCAAATAAATATAACACCCTATGAACCTTCCGCGAGATTATAGGAGCTTCGACTTCCAGATTTTTCTGTGCATGTTGCTGCAGTTTGCACTTGACAGCCAAGTTTTGTTCAACTGGGTTTTGAATCAACAACAGCAGCAGTAGTCTGCCACGCACGTGCAACATCAAGATAAATTGCTCATGGGTTTGGATGAGCACCCAACAGTATTCAGCAGCTCTTAACACTCACCACGACTTCATTCGAATGAGTTCCGAATCGCAATTCGACTAATCTTTGTGTAACTTTGGTTCGACTTGGTCTGTGAATGTTCACGATAAATTCGGCGTCAGAAGCCACTTCGCACCATACCGTTTTCTGCATCTTCATGAAGGCGCGACTTGTCGACAGGATAAATCCAGCGCTGGTACAAATAAATGAAGAAAATCACGTCGTCTCGAAAGCAACTGCCTCGGAAGTCAGTTCAGCGCAATTCCGGGGTTTCCAAAATTAAAACACATACCTGATGCGGTGCATCGTGGGCATGTGAATGACAAATGCGAACAAGTCGTCAATAAACGTGTTCAGGGCACTGCCGATGCATGAGAAAAAGTCATCTGGATGGGATTCGCACCGGTAGATCAGGAATCGCCACGGGAGATGGGCCACACTCTTCAATCTGTAATTGAGGTACAGCCTAGACAAGCAGTGACGTCACAATGCCCATCGATCGAGTTGTTGTACTGTGGAGTCATCATGATGAACCCTATAATACGAGTAAGATCATGAAAGAGACGTTCCAGCCTTGACGTGGTCAACTTACCAAACGTGTACACACATCCCGTGAGGCTGCCCAACACCCAGCTGTAGAAGCTCGTATGGTCTACGACGAAGCGATACACCTCCAGCCAACAACGACCAAAGAGCTACCTTTACAAAGCAGCGAATACACAGAATACCCCAGCATCAACGGATACAACGTGAAGCCCATGTACGTCATCGCAGTTTTGTCAATGTCGTTCGACTACGCTCCCAAGATGCTGATAAATAATAGCTTTGGACATCCAGTTGATCCACGTACTTCGGAGGAAAAGTCCGTGCGACTCAACTCAACTTTGACAAGGGTGTGCCACGACAGCGAAAATTTCGGCCGAGTAGCGCGCCAAATTTTCCAAATTTGAATCACAATCGAGATGCCACTCGGGACTAGAATGAGCAGCGTTGTTTCTTGTTCGATCAGGTACAAAAACACCTGAACGATGAGGACATTGATTTTGTGGTTTTTCGTGACAACATCACGTACGATAAGCTGTGAAATGAGCGACGACACCATGCTCCAAATCGAGATCCCGACCAAACTCACATTCTGCTGCCAGAATGCAATGTCGCTCTTGAATGCGAGCCAGTCGAACAAAATGTGCAGCATCGACACGGCCATAGTCACAGTTAGCAAGTACGGATTCGTTTCGGCAATCATCAAACGCATGTTGTCGATTTCGTCTTCGGCAAATCTACAATTCACATGTCTGGCCTTCCATTTTCTCTCATGAGAGTACCCCAAGTCTTTTTGTTGCTTGAGTGCATTTTCAAACGTCATCATCATTTGCCACCTAAGCAATAAGAAGTGTGGCCACTTGAGCTATGAAGGCGGGCGTTACCTTGCGTACGACATGGATTCAAAGCTCAGCTTGAGCGGCAGAGTCGACACGGACCGATTCAGCGGCACGAGCTTCTCATTCGTCATGCCCATTTCGTCCACGTACACCACGGGCATGTACTACACCCCACACGTGGACTCAATCACACGACTTGGATTCACCGTTGTACCTTCCACCCTTCGTTCTCAATATTTTCCATGCGCAAGTTGTTAAACACGAGCTGGGGAATCTGCATCCTGTGCATTAGAACCCCTCGACATGCATTTTTCGTGACGAGATCGTACCTCGGCGATGGGAAACTTCTTGAAGCACGTGACAAAGCGAACAGCCATGGCCTACGCACAGACCGTGAAGAACTCGGAATGGAAGCCACGAGCCTGGGGACGTCGTACCGGTTTCCAGTACGACACGATGTCGGCGGTCAGAGCCGGGTCATCAAACGTCAAGGGGTCGACAGGACTCACTGCAGTCGACTCGGCTTCGGGACTTGTCCACAATGATTTTAACAGCCTCGTGGCGTTCTTGGAATTCCATCGGGGTGCAAACTGCACATGTGTGACCTCGATTGCAAGAAGAATTGAAATCGTTACTTTCGTCAACGGGGTCACTTGGTGCAGCGTCAGTAGCTTGTGGTAGTTGGGTTTTTTCGGATTCGGCGACGCGCCAGTTTGGGTGAGATGCACGTGGAGGTAGACAGTTTCTAGCCCAGACGTCAAATTTGGCATCGATCGGCACTTTAAACTCTACCGTTGTCGCGAATGCGTGACCAAATCTTCTTGTCCAGCGTTTTTGTTCCGTTGGCGAGCGTCGAAATGTTGAACTCAATGGCCTGGGAATTCGTGTTCGAGTCGAACGAAAGGTCTTTAAACTCTCCCATGAACGACACCCGCGAGTTGGTAAAGTCCGACGCCACCTACATCTTTGTCATGCATACCAGGAGTTGGGATAGTTGCGACGAACCCAGTTTGGTCGCGGTGATATGTAGCACTCGCCGAACATCGTTTGCCCTTCCTGTTTCCAGCATCAGGAGATGGACTGAAAGGTGGAGTTCCAACCTTCCACAATGGACCCAGGTACAAGTCACCAGGATTTATCTCCCACGTGGGAAACATGATGCCATAAATCTATCATCATGCCGTCAGGACGGACACCGCAAACGTGAATCATACCTGGTGCGCGGTGAACGCGAAGTATGCCGCCTGGAGAAGACGTCAACCTTGTACATATAAAGGAAAGAGATAAAGTCGTACAAATACAGCGATGGACACAGACGTGAAGTTGAACCACTTCAGCGGGTTCCATGTCGCTGTCATGCTTCCGCGATGAGCGGGCCACGTGTACTACTAGTACTCCTCAAGAGTATTAGTCACAACAAGCTGGCGAGCTAGTACTACTACTACTACTACGAGCAGATTTTGAATGTTTGGAGTGTATAACTCATAAAACGCAATTTCTCTCTCAACTTTGTGCGTACATATTTATCCTCCAAAAATCAGGTTTTACTCGACAATTCATGGGTTTGAATTTCTGATGTGGTCAAATTAACGTGGTCAAAAATGCCCGCATTTGGTATCTGTGTTGGATTTCATTGCACGGGCGGACGTGTCACAACGACCGAGAAGGCCGTGACAATCATGTCGAGTACTGATGAAAAGAAGCCTCTGCTGGATGCGGCTATCACGATCAACACAACAGCTTCATTCTCGGATCTCAATAACATTCAGGACGAGCTGCGTCAGGTGGTGGCACTGGCGTTGCCAGTGGTAAGCTCAACAAGCTGTCGATGCATCGTTTGGTCCAACGAATACAATAGACTGCCACGTTCTTCCTCGAATACGCTCCAGGAATTATCACGCTCCTTCTTGCAGGGCATGCTGTCGATCCCAATGACATGCAGACGACGACATTATACCTAGATGCCGCGGCCATCGCAATTATGTATATGAACGTGACGGGGGTGACGATCGGTCTCGGGTTGGCCACAGCCATGGACACGTTGTGCCCACAAGCTGTCGGGGGAGGCAAGTCGCTTCAAACGGGAGTATATTTCCAGGCAGGGCTCGTCGTACTCGGGTACGAGCGTGCTGTACCTTACAATTACTGACAAAACCCTCCGCAGCCTCGTGTTTATTCCGATTGCATTTGCAAACGCTTGGGCCACTACCATCCTGGTCTACTTTGGCCAGACCTACACCATCGCAGTCTTGGCACGAGAATTTGCCACCATCATGCTTGTGGGCCTTCCATTCATGTTTGTGTACGAGCTGCTCAAGAAGGTAAAGTATTCGTCTCGCAGGCAAGTCTGACAATCGATGGAGCCAGGTGCTTCAAGCGCAGAACGTAGTGTTGCCCATGATGTACTGCGCTGTCATTGGCAACTGCGTCAACGCCGTCCTTGGGTATGCCCTAACGTTCCACACGCCACTTGGGTTTTATGGTGCAGCCGTCGCTCGATCCGTGGCAAATGGCGTTCTCCTGCTCTCGTTGGTCACGTACATATTTCTCAATAAGGCGACATTCCAAGCGTGTTGGCCAGGTGGAGCCGACCCCTCCTGCATTAGATCAAACTGACGGTGATAAAGGCTGGTCGCTAGTTGCCGCATTGAAGGAAGTGCCCAAGTTTGTCGCATTGGGTATCTCAGGCCTCCTCATGATGCTGTTTGAGTGGTGGAGCTTTGAGCTGCTCGTGTTTATTGCTGGTACAGCTGCTACACCTTCGTCCAGAATCCACACCTCGTTCTCTCCACACCTCTACGATACTCGTAGGTCTCCAGACGAACGCGACCACGGCCATTGGCGCCAACGCAATTCTCGTCAACGTCACGAGTTGCATTTACATGATTCACTTCGGCGTGGGAACAGCCGCTCAAATTCGGGTCGGGAATGCTCTGGGAGCGGGCTTGAGCCACCAAGCCCAACGGACAGTCAAATGCGCTGTAATACTGGGCGTGTCGATGGGGATGTCTTTCGCAGGGGCGCTTCTCATCACACGGAAAGAATTCCCTCGTTGTTTTACGCACGATGCCGATGTCATCAGGTGTGTAAACCTTCGACTCTCCAACTTGTCAGTCCAGAATCCCGTTGTAGTCTAACGTCGTACGTGGCGATTGCGATCGCCATGTACCAAGTCGCAGACGCCCTTAACACGACCCTGCAGGGTGTGTTGCGTGGAGCAGGATTGCAGAAAACAGGTTCTCGCCTCCAGCCCTTTTCTCAACGACTTTATTGCACATGACGTAGGCGCTCTCTTGAATTTTATCGCGTACGTTGTCGTGGGCTTGCCGTTGGGGACGTTTCTAGACTTCGTCGTTGGATGGGGGCTGCTGGGTCTATGGGTTGGCATGGCCGTGGGGATTAGTACGTCTGGCATCTGCGGCGGGTTAATCGTCCACTTGTCTGACTGGCTTGTGCTTGCGAGTGACGCCAAGAACCGTGTATCGTAAGTCGTCCATGTATCCACAGCAAAGTCCTTTCCACTTCATGGAACGTTGTTTCGGGGTCAAAAGGATTGGCGTTGTATTTGAACGATATTGCGATGCAGAGGCTGGAGGCGATTCCCTCTCCCAGCGACAACTCTGACATGGGACAAGACATTTTTGCTAGGAGTAATAGTTTAGAATGCTGAAGTGGTATCCGTTTGTCAGGATGGCGATTGGAACTGGCGGCAAAACGCACTCAAAATCGCGAGACGGCCAGTTGAAGGAAGCGCTGATTGTCATGATCGGTGGCAAGTTCATTCACCATCCATTCTCGGGTGTTCCCGACCATCACTGACCGACTGGGTTGTCGGCTCCATGCCCCACACGTCGATCTCGTGGCAAATGTCGGTGGGATGCGGCGCAAACGTCGTATGGTACGCCTGCAGCGCGTACGGTCCGAAACAGCACAAAACGCAAAGCAGGACGAGCATAAATAGAATCGACAGGTTGTCCACCACGACAAGCACGGCGTACAGCTCCCCGCCAAACGAGAGTAGACTTGAAAACGCATAAGCAGACGCCGACCAGAGCCCGAGGCTGCATGCAAACCCGACCGGAATGAACCAGAACCAGCATTTTGTCTCGAGCGCGAGCCGAAGATTCGCAACAACGACGACGGCGCCATTCATGACGAGCCCAACGTCCCACAAGCCTTGGTCCAGTCCGCTAATACTTGACGGCCCGTGGCCAACGACTGCGAACGGAATGAACAAAATGAGCAGCGACGACACGAATGCGTCAAATATCCACTCCCAGAACCGCCGGATGCTGACGAAGGACTGACTCGCGTACAGAAACGGGTACTTGAGGCTCATGCGGGCGCTGACGTGTTCGTCAAAGACGGAGAACAAAAAGACCGGGAGCGCCGTAAAGCACACGTTGTAGAGTTGGTACAACGGGTCGTAGTACGTCGACTGCCCGGAGAACGAGCAGTACATGCCAAAGAAGAATTGCGGCAGGACGAGCAACACGTTCTTGTAAAACATGTACAGCGTCAAGATCGACATGCGGCGATTCATCCATCGCCCGTGGACCAAGACGAGCCGTTTTAAGCTCTGGAATTCCGGGATCGAGTAGTCACTTGCATTTGCAGCTTGCTGCCCTTCAGCTCCCATGATACCCACGCCCACGTGTGCCTACCAGCACACGCATGGGACGAATTCTCGATGACGGGATCAAGGAAAGTGTACCCTTTGAATCATGGGCACATCGTTCGCGCCATCCCCCACAGCCAACGTCATGACCCCCGTTTTCCTCCGTACCAAGTCGACGATAAACTCTTTTTGCTTGGGGGATACCCGACAACACAAGACACTCTTGCATCTGCACCCACACTCAAATCATCCACACAGTGCATCTGTGACCTTATCTTACCGGTTGCTCGCTCGTATGAGCTGGCTCTGCAGCGAATCGAGGCTGACAATGAGCTCGAGAGCCATGCCATCCAGGATCAGGGCCTTTGGCGGCACGTTTTTGCCTTTAGGTGAATCGATGATCGACTGCAACAATTGCCCAACTATCGTCGACGACGGCAACGAAGCTGCAGTACCATCGTTGGGCGGACTTAGCTCTACATGGCGCATGGATGAATAATGCCGTGTGTGCCGTTGCCAACGGATATCGCACCTTTCGTCGAGATTTGCACGACTTGCATGTCGCTCGATATGAGCTGCGTCGCGCGGCCAATGTTGACTGCAGTGTCGGGGCGATCCCCCGTGAGCATCCACACCTTGATTCCAGCCATGCGAAAGCATTGCAGCGCGTCGGCCACTCCATCTTGCAGTCGGTCTTCGATGCCTGCCACAGCGCGACGATTCAGTCGTCTCACTCAACCGCCTCCATGGCGCCATCGCTACCTGTGATCCCGACCAGGTCCAACTGCGTTTCGATCTCCCGAATGATCTCATCTAATACTTCTTCGGACGTGTTGGACGAAGTCTTGGCCGCCAAATACTTTGCATTCCACTTGTCGTACACCTCGTCCGAGAGCTCCCTCTGCGCCACACACAGCACCCGCAGACCTTCTGCTGCGTACGTGAGTAAGTGCTGCTTCATCGAGTTATACCGCTCGTCCTCCTGCACGTGAGTCAGCATTCGGCAATCGTCGGGCTTGTCACCTGTGCATCGACCGGCGTTCGCAACGCTGGAAAGACGACCGTATCGGCGCCTTTGCAAAACAAGATCGCACCGGTCGCGTTTCCGCGTTCGCGCACAATCATCGAGCTCTTCTTGCGCTCGCTGGAAAACTCAAACATGTGCAGCACGTCAAACAGCACGGTCTCTCCGAACCGACTGATCGCGACCGTAGTCGAGTCGTGGCGAAGTAGCGTCACTTCAAAGTGCTTGGCGGCACACACGAGCGCTTCCTCGTCCGGCGATATCGCAGAGTACACAAGACTCTTGGTCGTGGCATCGACGATGGGCACGACGGTGCTATTGACCGCCAAGTTGACGAAAAACTGGACAAATCGAGGATGTCGCTCGTCCACGACCTGCAATCAAACGTACTGCATTGGTGGAGGAACTCGATCGAATGGCAAGGGCTCTCTCTACCTTTTCTCGCAGTGACTTGTCCACAATGTTGACGTGCGTGAGGTGGCCGCGTGGCGTCACAATGTCCTTGGCCCGCTTTGGAAAGGGCAGGATGGACCGCAATCGGTTGTTGCCCGGCGGCAAACCCGACCCCCGCGGTGTACAATTCGGGTCCGACTGGCTGATCGTGCCAAACGACACGCCGTCGATCGCGCACTTGCGGAACTCCATGTTATTGCAAGTCAGTGTTCCCGTTTTGTCGGTGAAAATGTGCTGAATGACGCCGAGGTCTTCGTTGAGATCTGAGAATCGAACCTGCCATGCAAACGCACATGACTACGCGTGGTCATGGCCTCAGCCATACCTTAACACCGACCTTCCCATGGGCCATCGCCGTGTCGAGTCCGAGCATAATCGACTGAAAGAACCGAGTAATGTCGACCGTCACTTGCAGCGAGATCGGGACAAAGTTGGAAAAGAGCAACATGTACGTCAGGAACAACCAGAACGCGCCTAGGACGCTCTGGCTGTCGCGGGGGCTGTACGGCAAGCTCGTCCGCATCGACTCGACGATGACTGCAATGATCTGGAGCACAACTTGGAGCACAATAATTTGGTACGTCATCACGTTGGTCATTTTCGACAACGAGCTCGCCTTGAACGGAGTTTCGCCCGAGTTTTGCTGGATCTTTGTGTCCTCTCCCGTGTACACCTGCACGAGCCATTCCCATGGTTTAGTTTGCTACAACTCGATCGAATTCGATCGTGGTACCGTCACGCCGACCGCCCAGTCCGTGTCTCTCAGCAGCACGCCTCGCAACAGCAAATTCGACATGGAAATGCTAATCTTGACGTTGTTGATCGTTGTCAAAGTCGCCTTGAATCGATCGAGTTTTCGACTCGGCCCCTCCGACTCGACGTGCGCACCATTGACCTGCCAACGCCCCTGTTACGCTCCCAAACGCGCGCATGTCGAGACGTACCATCGCCCAAATGTCTGCTGCGTCGCCCATCAACGTGTTCACCTTGGACAACTGCGACGGCACCCATCGAATTTTCAAGTTGGTTTCGCCGTCCAAGTTGGCAGTCATGGTAAAGCACTGGCCGATCGGGCTGCTCGACGCCAAGATGATCATGTCGGACGGAATGATCTCGTTTTGATGGACCTTGACAACGCTGCCGACGTGCAAGTCGGCCCACGTCGTCGGAACGAACTTGGGCGCGCCGTCCCCATGATTTTGAAGCTACAACGACATGCCATGACCCTTCGATTCGTCAAAGAGAGGGGTCAAAGTACATGGAGCGTTTTCGTGCTGTTTTGGACGTTGTCAGCGCTGTGGCGGTGGATATCTTCAATGAGGTCTTTCACCGCGTTGACGAACAAGACAAATAGAAGCGGGACGATCGTTGTGGGGTACCCGCCCGAGAGCGTCACCTGCGGGATAACTTGGAGGACTGTGATGAATAAAAAGTACATGTTGGACAAGCGCGCGAACTGCTTGAAGAGGTTTTTGAACAAAAAGTTGTACGGCGTGTAGATCGACGTCGAGATGCGGTTCGGAGCAAAGGCCGCGTCGGGTGGCGGAGTTGTGCCAACCCCAAACTGCCTCGTTGTGTGGCCCAGCGATTTAAATTCACCGACCGAGTCGACACTGCCGTCGACATGGCGCTCGTTCGATGGCACGATGATTGCCTTGCCCATCCGAGCGAGCCTCGGCACCACCAATGTCCCGTCTGACGCTGACCTTTCGGATGCCGTTTTCCGCAACAGTGACAGAAATAGATGCATAGGAAAACGGACACAGGAAAGCAAATTAGGACCTTGACACGAGGGCTTATCACCACATGGTCGTATTGAAGTACACGGTCTTTGACGAGATATCTCCAGCACAATACCTGCGGCAGTCGTTACCACCAACGATGCCAAGTGGCCACTTGCTCCTACATCATGCCTCCCATCGCCTGCAGTACATGGCTCGTGGCCGCTGTTACTGTTTCCCTAAGGAGTCCACAACTCGCCCCTCGACGCGGCAGGAAGAACGTGCTTTTCTGTCAAGGGTTTTTTAAAGACTTTGACCTGCATGCTGTGCTGTCAGCGGCGCGAGATTCCTTCCTGTACCGCGTAGTCGAGTGCCTTCTGGATATCGACGGAGGAGCATGCATTCGCTGCAACATCATGCAGATCCTGCATACATAGAGCTAGCACAGTGCACGGCTGCGAGGTCTGGTGCGGCGCCACAGGAAAGTCCGCCTAGTCGAAGCCACGCCACAACGATGCCGCGTGCAAACATCCGGATAAGTTGCATTTATTCGGAATCCCTGTAGTGCGATTGGATGGAACGTACGCGGGTCTGTTGTCCATGATGTGGTCGTCTTTGCGGAAGGGCGCCTGCAACATCGGCATCCATCGTCGGCATGTGCTCCTTCGATCGAGGAGTCTTCAGACGTCGCATATAGGCGCTGCGCTGCGTGTGAGAACCATACCAAGGGAGTGGCCTCATACCATCGGCTGGGTTCGGTGTTGGAGCAGCGTCTCGTCAGATCAAAACCAGACTGAAGACGACGAGAAGCGCGAACAGGAGGAAGTGGAGAGCATCATGCGCAAGATCTTGGCCCAGAGCAAGAAAAAAGACGAAGGAGGCAAAAGGGAAGGCAGTGGTCTTGTGGACATGATTACAGGTAGCGACCGTCGGCAGCTTCCAAACTCACAAACCTGACCCAACCCAGGCGGACGCCTCCGAAAGTTAGAAGACGTGAACCGAACTTACTACCCTGGCCAAAAATTCAAGGCGACGTCCCAAGACATGGTGTTTCGTGCGATGGCTGGCAACACGTTGATCACGGCGTTGAAACTAATGGCATATCTGAAGACTGGGTCTAGCGCCATGTTGAGTGAGGCAATCCATTCCCTCGTGGACACAGGCAACCAAGGTCTGCTCATCCTGGGTCTACGCCAAGCATCGTTTCAGCCGGACAAAAAGCACCAGTACGGGTACGGTCGGGCGGCCTACTTCTGGTCTCTAATATCAGCGCTCGGAATTTTTTGGCTCGGAGCTGGCGCGACTGTGACGCATGGTAAGCATCTGCACCATATGCCGCATTTATGGGAGATGTTTCAATGTCGTAGGGATTCAAACACTGCTGAATCCACCAACTCCAGACGAACTCGTGCTCAGTTGGGAAGTGTGGACAGTTCTCGGCATGTCGTTTTGCATTGATGGTTACGTGCTCCAGCGCTGCCTGGGGGAGCTGATGCAGACCAAGCCCAAGGGCGTCAGCTTGTACCAACACATCAAGGACATCAAAGACCCGTTCATGCTCGCAGTTGTGCTCGAAGACTCTGCTGCTTGCACCGGGGTTTTCATTGCACTTGCTGGCATCGGCGCCAGCTACGTGACCGGGAATCCTGTATGGGATAGCGCTGCTAGTATCGGCATCGGGTGCCTCTTGGGTGGGGTGGCAGTCTCTCTTATTCGCATGAACCAGCGCTTCTTGTTGGGGCAATCCGTCGATCCTGGTACGTGCACTTCATTTCCGTCTATTTCGGCTTGGTTACACCTATTTTATTTCGATTTTTCGATGGGTTAAGTATATTTTTTCTTGAGTGGCTCTTGAACCTCGACTTCTTGCGATAGAAATCGAACAAGGCATCAAGGCGCTGCTGCTCTCGCGGCCTTCCATTGATAATGTTTATGCGGTGCAGTCGCAGTGGGTTGGGCCTTCCACGTTTAGCTTCAAGGTTCGTCCAACGTCCATCGAGTCAAACTCTCACGTTGTGTGCAAAGGCTGAAGTCGATTTCGACGGAACTTACATGGCTGCCCAGCTGCTCGAAATGTATACCATTCCGTTGTACGCTCCGACGATTCTCACGAGAGGAGTAGGTACAAGCCCGTGTTTCTGGATTCAGACCTTGAGAGCGAACTGCCCGTGATCTTGGCGTGGTACGCCGAAGATGTGACGCGGCTCGTGGAGAAGGAAGTCCAGGAAGTCGAAGTTGCAATCAGGTGAGTTTGACTTAACGGCCAATTCGTGATGTTTTTCTGTGGTGCAGGGCAAAATACCCCGAAGCTGCATTCATCGAGCTGGAGCCAGACAGCAAAGACACAGACATGCGCGCGTTGTCAAATATTGGCACCAAGTCCTTCCGCGCCAGCGAGCGGGACGCCATAACGAGGGCGCTGGCCCACTTAGCCCGATCGTTGGACAATCGTTAGAGATTCCTGTTTACACATGAGCAAGAGTTGCGTTCAAATTTCGGAGAAATATCGGCTGGAGTGGCGGATGATTGGTTCATTGTTCTAACGGCGGAATTCGAATAAGTGCACAATTCGGAGACTCCTGCATTACGTTGACGCATGGACAACCTCGAATTGGGCTGCCCGCTGCTGCCGAGTCCTCAGAGCTGCAGGATTTGCCGAGGCCATGAATCCAGTACGGAGTCCGAGACCCCTTGAATGGCATCCTAATGGTGGTCTAGGCCCGCCCAACATGCTCATCTCGGCGTGCTTGTGCATGGGATCTGTGGGACGAATCCACACGCAGTGTACGCTCGTTTAGCTGTCGACCGACCCTTGAAGTTTGACCCGCCTTTCCTCAGGTTTGAAGGCGTGGATCCTGTCGAGGGGCCTCCCTATGCAAGAAGCGATGGCGTGTGAGCTGTGTAAAACTACATACCGACTCGTCGGCCGAAGGAGAATTGCGTGGGGCCGAAAACACGCGTTCAGCAACTCGGCGTTGGTGTACGCCACCGCATTCGTGCTTCTCCTGTCATGCACAGTTGGGGTGTTATGGACAGTTGGGACAATCCTTTCCTCATGGCAAACTTTCCGTGGATCCGTGGCGAACTTGGTGCCCTTGATTGCGCTCTTGGGAACATCGGTTCCTGTAGCTCTGTTGACGTTGTGGCAGCTTTTTTCACGATGGAGAGCCAAGTCGTCCGTTGTCTACTTTGACACCGTTCTGGGAAGTTAGTTGATTGCACGACGAGCGCACACGGCATGAGGTGAACTCAAGAATTCTTTCGTGGTTTGTCCGTTTTTCCAGCGGTGTAGAAGGATGCCCTTCGTGGCAGAGTAATCAAAACACGATGGGATTCACCTCGATGCGCCGCAACGTCTACCGGCGTCGGCAGACTTGAGCGCGCTTTGACACGCAGGCAACACTTGGTGCATCGGACTGGGTACGGCTCATGGTCGAAGAAGATCGGATTCAGCCGTCGAGTCGTTGGACACGATTCGATTCGTGGCGTTTCGGTGGCTTTGCTGATGTGCATGCTGCGCCTAGTACGCACAACAGAGACAACCTGAAACACAACCCGAATTCGTAGTTCTCAACACGTCGTCCTCTAAACCGACGATGCAACGTAACACTTGATCTTGTTAAATGCAAAACTCACAAGACTACCAACCTTTCCCAGTCAAGACGGCATGTATGCCACCGACACGGTAAAGTACAGCCCATCATGACGTCGGCGATGACATGGCCAAGTCGCAGGTCTACACCAGGATGGCAAGCGCCAGGGCCGCCACCGCAACATGCAGAGCGGAAGACGCAACTTTGTACGAGTCAACTCCGTTTGCGTTGGAGTCTCCTTCACTACCGCCAGTGGCGGACCGTGATGCTTTTTGAAGCGTCGGAAACGACGGAGTGCCCGCTGGACGCTTGACGCAGTCGCTGGCTTCAGCCGAACAGACTTCGCACAGCTGGGCAAGGAGCTTTCGGCGACAGCCGTATTTTGCCGCCGAGCAAAGTGGACTGTTGACGTAGCACGGAGGGTTCGTGGCGACGAGGGTCGACACCGCAGGGAATGGTTTCATGTTGGCGCCTTTGACTGGGTCCTTGAGTTGAGTGTTGTAGAATTGAATCATCTTTTCGCTGCGGGCAGTGTTAGCCGCTCGGTCGGTCGGGTTTTCCCAGAAGGGCAGGCTCTGTCCAGTTTGGGAGCTGTACTCGATGCCCCCATCTTGGCAGAACGCATACCGGTTCGGGTACTTTTCGCCAGACGACGACGTCATGCTCGTGATGCCGACGAGGTCGTCAATACTGACGAACCCAAGCAACTTGTATGAGAAAGTGCACGTATCTCCATCTGGGGCGACGCCGAAGGGGCACAATCCACCCTTCTGCTGCTCACGGCACACGTCGGTCTTGCCTCCAAACGGCTTGGTGAAGCAGGAATTCGGGAAAGAAAACCACACGTTGTTGTCGTACGGAGCCTTAGGGTTATCCAGTCGGTTCTCGCCACCAACGCAAGGGCCAATCTTGGGCTGTCCGTTGCCTCCAAAGTACTGCAAGCACTCCTTGGGCAACGTTGTTCCAGCAGTTGGGGTGCACATTCCATTGTCCATCGCAACAAACTGGCAGTACTCTGGGTAAATCGCCGTGTTGGACCCGTATTCGGCAATGCCATACGTTGGCTGGACGATTGTGATATCGTAGAACCACACGTAGCTCATGTTGCTCTTTCTTGCGCACCCAGGGACGATTGCCTGGTCAATGCCCTCGGACTGGACATACATGAGCGCGCCTTCAACGGTGGCCGTGTTGACCGTGTCCAGTGATGCAACGTACTTTTCGGTGAACGTGTTGGTGCCCGTCTTGAAGACGGCGACCCACACGTTGTTTTCAGCATCCCACACGGGTGGGTCCGACTGAACACGAGCCTGGATAGATCGCACGGGGGTCATCTTCCATGTGTTCTCAGCAACCGTGGCCACCGCCGCAGCCGCGACGAGCGTGATGAGCAGGCGCAGCATTCGAGATGGCAAGATGTCGTGTGGGTGGGTCAGTTTCTGCGCCGCTTCGACAGTGGTTTCACCCTGCCATGTGTACCAACATTCTCAGCCAATCGAATCGCTCCGAGGCTACCTATGTCGTGAAAATCGTGGTTTTTCGACACTTTGTCAAACTACCGCTGTCCAGTTTAGAATGTCGCGTTTCGTACTCTACGTAAAATTGTATCCATTTATAGGGTGCTCATGGATTCACTCTACCACAAATTTATAGTCAAAACCTCTATAACCCAATTCGACGTTGCGATGCTGACATAAAAGGAGAGAAATATAAGTAGATGAAGTAATCCTTTTTGAATATTGGGGGACCACCCTCAAAATCAAGTGCAAAGTCATCAAGATTCCACACATAAATTACGGCCCAGCCAGTAGGAGTTTGGCCACTTCGGGCTCGGAATGCAACGCCATTGGATAGCCATGAATATTCTCGAATTAATGCGCACCAATCCTTTACGTTTTTAGTCGTGAGAAAAAATGCTGTGGAATTCCGACAGTCTGACCTGGCCAGAGCTGACGTAGTATTGCGTGTTTCAATGACGTCCCAAACGCTGTGAAGAGACGACAGTCGGGCGAGCAGACTTACCGTCGCAAGTTGCACGATGCGTGCAAGGACAAAAAGATCCATGCTCACAGAGGTCGACACGATCAATGCGCCGAAGGATAATCCTAGTAGTTGTCAGAGTATTAACCGGTTGGCCTCGAAGCACATGGTCCTCTCTGTTCAAGGGACCCAAATTAAAATCCAACAAGCAGTACAGTATTAAAAATATCATGAACTTTAAAATAGATTATGAATATGTCGTCGTCTACAACCGTTGTAGTCTGATGATTCACATGTTTCAGCATTGATTTCAACAACGTGGAGATGCGTGTGAAGTTGTTGCCTTTCACTTCAGCTGCGTTCATGCAGCCTCGTATGGATAAAAAATTGTTAAAAGCACGTTTGAATCGAGTAAGAACGATCGAAAAAGTTGTGGAGGTAGTATACGAAGCGTGGGCAGCAATCTTGCCGGGAAGTGTAGCAAAAACAGCAGATTTTTCTAGCAAATATTCACGCCACACCATATCTACGATTCTCTCGCTGCGACTGATCATTTAACCGACCTGGACATCTACCTAGGTGGCGCTAGTGTGAAGGAGATTGGAATACAGGCGCACAATGTCGACCCTTTGCTCCTTGGTGGGGCACGTGGGCACTCGGTCTTGACAAAAGCAACGACTTGGTCAACTTCGGAAGTGTTCATATCTCAGGTTGAATATGACCTTTCACCAGCTTCAGGGGATTTGCCTGCATATGTTTCTGCATCATACCTTTCGACTTATAACGTTCGGTTACGGGGAAAACTCTTTTATGGGAGGGGAGGACTTTTTGTTCCACAGTTGAAATTTACGATCAATCTTACCTGTGCATTTCTCGATGCTGGCTTGGTTTTGACTTATCTGTGACCACCACTTGTACTCTACAAGACCCCGAAATATCTGGTCCGAAAGTCATGCTTGGCATGTATAAAATTAGGTATAATAAATTGGAGGTTTCGTCCATTGACACAAAGGCGCGAAATGGAAAATTTGAAAACCGAAGTGAATTGCGACAAAAAGCTCACGGAAAATTATAAAAATATGAATAGAGCACATTAAACTCACGCCCCTATGCTCCAATTCAAATTTGCCGCCAAGACTGCCAAACACCTGAACTCACCCAAGCAATGAAGACGGAGGTCGTGTACACCTTGCAAGACGCCATCCACAATGACAAGCTTCAATATGGGTCAATTACACTGCGGCTCGGCTTCAGTTGAACGAGCTACAGTCCGCAAGATATGGAAAGGTATCCATCGTGGAACTCTGCACTCCAAGATGAAGCACAGGGTGGGTCCAACCACAGTACACACAATCCGAGATAAGGGAGTTCGTCCCAAGTAGTGCCGAAAAGAGACCCCAATACCTGTCGGGACATTTCCAATGCCACGGGTGTTTCCAAGAGCACCTGTTGGGCGTCACTTCAAGGCTGGAACAATCCTTCGTCGTTCATCACGGCTCAAGCCACTCCTCACTGACTACAACAAACCCGAGCTATGGTGCGCAAGTCAGCATGAATGGGTATACGAGCATACATCAACGATCAAGATCGCAACGCCACTGTCACTTCAACCATCAGCTTCGGCGACCATGGCGGCACCTCACAAGAATCCGAATTTTCGGATATGCATGACGTGGTCCACCTCGATGAGAAATGGTACAATGCACACAACGACTGTCGAAAGACTCAACTTGTCCCAGCCACGTTTCAAGTCGGTGTGCCTGCAAATCAAAGCGCTTCAAACCAAAGTCATGTTCCTTGCTGCCGTCGCTCGACCGCGTCCAGACCTCGATTTCAATGGTAAAATAGGAAGGTGTGGTCATTTACGTGCCAGTCGCCTGTTCTGCGCAACTCTCGAAATCGTCCTGCCGGGACAATGGTCACTACGTTGGTGAACGTTGATGTACCGTGACTTCGTTGTCAATAAAGTTGTGCCGGCGATCAAACGAGCATTCCAAGCAGAACGAAGAGAGTTGTCCTACAGCACGACAAAGGAGACTCCACACTCCTCAATCGACGATGTTCTGGCAGACCTGTCAACGGACGGTTAGACCATTGTTCTCCGGCGGCAACCAAACAGTCCTGACCTCAACGTCTCGGACCTGGGGTTCTTCGCCTCGATTCAAGCCCTGCAGTACAAGACTGCCGGTCCGTGGATGATGTGGTCCGTTCAACTTTGGATGCCTTTGAGATCCTCAGCAGTGACAAGTTGTGCAACGTCTTCCTTACCTTGCAGGTGGTTATGCGCCTCATGCATGACGGAAACAACGACTTCAAGCTGTCCCATCTAAAGGAGGATAATTAGAGACGACCGCTCATGGCAATCCTTACAGTCCCTGTTTCGCAGTTCTCTTTCGTGTCCGTTCGTCACTGCTTCGCTTGTGCAACTTTATTTTTTTAGTATATATATATTTAACCAATAAAATGTACTACAATCATGTAACAAACCAATCAGATATATTGGTCATGGGGGAAATATCCTTTGATGAAGCACGGTCATACTTTGTATACTGGGACAGACGTAGTATTACTAGGTAGTATTAGTAGATTTGAGTGTGAAATTGAAGGTTGTCACCCCAGTCAATGGGGTTGGCCAAGGGTGGTCAGCACGATGCGCACTCGAGTTCAATGCGGAAGCGAGTTTTCTTATGTACATTTTAGCCCAGCATCGACAAGGCCACGATGACCAGGGTTGCAATACCAGCAATACTCGAAGTCGCGGCAGACGTACCGGGAGTACCGTTGCCTCCCGTAGCAGGCTTTCCGTTGGGCAGAGTGGGCTTGGGAGGAACGAATTGCTTGACAAGTGTCGGGAATGGAGCAGCGTTCGCGGGCTTCTTGACACAGTCCGGGCCATCGGCCGTGCACAATTCGCACACTTGGGCGAGAAGGCGGCGCTTGCAACCAAACGCATTTTGGTAGCACAAGATGTTGTTGACGTAGCACGGGGGGTTTTCAGCCGTCAGCTCGGTCACGTTGGGCAGCGGCTTGAAGTTTGCAGCCGCGCCTTTGCCTGCCTTGACAATATCGGCGTACATGGTCATCATCTTCTTGGTGCGTTCCGCGTTGGCCGTCACGTTCAACGGGTCCTTCCAGAACGTCAAGTTGGAGAATTGGGTGTCGAAGTTGTACTCGATACCACCCGCCTTGCAAAACTGGACACGGTCCGTGAAGTTTTGGGTTGTCGAGCCAGGCACAGGCAACGATGTGATACCGACCAAGTCATCAATGCTGAGGTATCCAAGCACATCGAACGAGTAGGTGCATGTGACACCATCGGGCTTGGTGCCTCGGGGGCACATGCCACCCTTCAGGGATGGGTCGTTGCGGCACGTCGCGGTCTTTTGGTCGAACGGCTTAAGGAAACACGGGCCAGGGAAAGAGAACCACACGTTATCGTCGTACACAGCCTTGGGGTGTGTCTTGCGAGGTTCACCACCGACGTAAGGGCCAAGGTTCGGGTTGTAGTTGATGCCGGAAAATTGCAAGCATTGTTCGGGGGGGTTGGATTCACGCAGAGTGCACATGCCGTTGTCCATGGCCACGAAGGCACCGTATTCAGGGACAACTCCGGTGTTGGTTCCGTATTCAGCCACGGCAAAGTATGGCTGGACAATGTTGATGTCGTAAAACCAAATGTACGTCATGTTGGTCTTTCGAGCGCATGCGTTGTCGACATCAGTGCCAATACCTTCGGATTGGACATAGAACAATGCTCCTTCGACGCTGGCCGTGTTCACCGTGTCCAACGACGCTTGCCAGCGGAAGGTCGGGTCTGGGCTAAGATTTTTGAAGTTGGCGACGAATGCCTTTTGGTTGGCATCCCACACGGGTGGCGACGATTGCACACGCGCCTGCACGGTGCGAATCTTTTTCATCGACCACGCCACAGGGGTAGGAGGAGGAGTGTACGTGGGAGCGGTGTTTTGCGCCGCGGCAAGGCACGCGGCCCCGAGAAGCGCAACCAAGCGAATCATCCTTCCGCGTCCGGTCGGTGGCGACAAAGTCGAAATGGAAGGCGGCGATGTGTGGGCTGTGTGTAACACCAGTACAGGGGGAGTTGTTAATGTACGAATGTACTCTACTGTACGGTGGTTCTGGCATACAAATAAAAAGGCAACCGTACGTTTCGAGATTGTACCGTGTTGCTCGAAAAGAAAACCGACTTCGTAGTGTGTTAAATTCAGAACAAAATCGCGTTCTCAAACTTCGACGCGTTCGCTACACGTGGCCAGATTCTACTTTGCGTTGCGGGGGCGATGGGATAAATCCACGTTGTGGAAGGTCAGTGGATGCGATCCACGGTTGGTTGGACGCTTTCTCCTGAGCTGGAGATGCACCGCGCGCAGCGATCGCGTTTGGTCAAGGACAGACACCAGGCCCGGTAATGGATAGCTTGAAACAAATCAGTGTGTCAAACGCCTGATCTTGGCCACATTTGAGGGTAAGAAACACGTAAGAAACACCATTGTACCGTGCAGCCGACAAACTTGAATCAACAACTGCTCGTTGATGGGATGTCTCTTGGCAACCCACGGCACCGTCGGAGCAGATGGCAGGTTCTGCGCGGAGGTGGCAGGCGATCCCCTGCTAGCCCAACTGGCATCCTGCGACGACAGCGATGTAGCCCACACCGGCATGCACCTGTGTCATTGGCAATGCGTTGTTTCGCGCTCTCGATGCACATGAGGTCTGCAACACCAGCACACCGCTTTGCGCGGCGTAGTGAAGGGTGTCAAGGCAGTTTTGCCATGACGCTCGAGCAAATTGCATGGTTCATGCATGCGCGCTTTTCATTATGTATTGTTCATGTGAATTGGGTGTGTGGTTGACGTGGTTGTGCGGCTAGTCCTATTCGTCGACCAGCACGTTCTTCTCAATAAAGTCGAGGAATCGGTCGCCATATTGGTCAGGCGGCACTGACGAAATGTCCTTCTTGTTGTGGACAAGCCCTTTGACCACGGTCTCTGTAATTTTTCGCGTGTTGTACTGCTGCAGGATGTCGATGATACCTACTCGCCACCACTCCCCATGTCAACACAGCACCATCACGCTTGCGTATCGACCATACCGACAAAGTAGATTTTCCCGTTCTTCTTGCGTGCGCTCGACCGGCCGAAAACGCCGCCGTAGTCTTTGCAAAAGATCGATCCACCCGACGGTGGCTTGGCAGTCGTCTCCAGCGTCCGCGGCGATCTGTCGTCACAAAGTCAACTCCAACGTCGTCCAAAAGGACAACATACAATGGCGCGTCTGTGTAATCGACCTCGTCTCCCGAGTTCTCGTCGCTCGCGGTGTCGGAAACTTGGGAGTGCGATGGGAACTCTTCGAGCTTGAGCACTTTGAGGGCGTCCGCGACACTCGGCCGGCCTTTTCTGTAGTCACAAGAATGACCCAAGGCAGGCCTCAAAATCGACAAACGTACACCACAGTGGGCGAGTCGAGCTGGAGCGGTGGCGGCAGCCCCTTGGCTGGATGTGGCGAGGCCATGGGGGATTGCAGGATTTCTTGGCCTGAATCGTGGATGCCGATGAGGAGACTATAGTCCATGATCTTCATCCGCTTGAGGAACGCCACATCCTACGACCCATCTTTCATCGACGTTGCACATGGCGAATCAAACCTTGCGGAGCTGCTCGAGCATCATCGCACGCTTCTCCGGCCCGAGGGACAAGTGAATGTGCTCTTCGACCAGGTCGTTGTCCTTGAGCACGCCGTTTTTGGACTTTTCGTCCACGGACGCATTGCGCCCGACCTTGGACCCCTTCAGGTCGAAGCGGAGGTGGATTTCTTTCGGCGTGTTGAATACACTCGCCATGATGACAAAATGCATCTGCTGCTTCTTGGTGTGGTGCATCTTGACGCGATGCATGCCGTAGAACCGCGTCACGAGCGTGTTGGAGTTCTCCATGACAAACTGCACGCGTCACACACACCTTGAACGAGACGCAGCACGTCGTACCTTGTAATAGTGCGGAAGGATGCGTCGGAGAAACTTGGACTCGTCCTGCGTCTGGGTCTTGATCATGAACCGGCCGTCGTGCGAGTAGAAGAAGAATTGGCCCGATTTCGAGTTGGACATGAACTCGATGTAGTTGAAATCGCCACACAACGTCACCATGTAGTCGGCCTGCGCATAACGTTTCGTCGTCAAGAAATCGCATCGCCAACGTTTTCACGTACGCTGTCAATGTCGAATCGGCGGCGAATCTGCCGAAAAATGTCGGGCGAGTAGTCCTGCGTCGTCCGATGTGAATCGCGCGGCCAGCCTTCCTTCCCGACACCCCTCTTACCTTGAACTTGAACGAGTGCGTGAGCTTTGATCGCGGGTTGGGCGGGAACTCGCGCTTGTCCACACGCATAAAGTCGTTCATGGTGAGGCGTTGCTTGAACATGTTTAGACTTCCCGCCTGCATGCAGTCAGCAGTCAGCGGAAGCTTTGACAAGCAGAGAACACCGAATTGAGGATGCCCGTCATCATGCCATACGTCAACGTGTACTGCTCGTGCTGGCCATCGATCTCGTTCCCATCCGGCTTCTTGAACGTCAATTTGGGCGATGAGCGAACGCTATACATGAACAGCACGAGTTGCGCGATTGGAGTCATGCATGGAGTTGTCCATACTTGTTCTTGCCGTCGAACTGATTGGTAATGTCGATGGCCTTTGCAGCTGGAGATCCTGGCTCCGCAACGACTAAATTGTCGGAGATTGCCACCGCGCTAGACGCGACCGATGTCATGCTCGTCGATTCGATAACTTCGCTCTTCGATCGCTGTTTGCTAAAGCGTGGACTGTACTTGCGCTTCGCCTTGTCTCCGCTCAAATGGCCAACGTCGATGGCGCTGGAGGTTGTCGAAGGACGTTCTTCCACTTTGTTCTTGAGGTCCAAGCTGAACTTACTGTTGCGCGATTCCACGACCGCCTCTCCTTCGTCGACACCATCCCTCTCCGCCGTGGTTCGCCGCTTCGGCGAGGATCCTTGTGAGTCTTTTGGAGGTTCGACGACCTTCACGTTCATCATCTCGCTGTTCCGTGCCGTGATGTCCATGCTGTGCGAGTACGTGAGATAAACGGCGAGCTCCACCAAGTGCTGGGGCCGCTTGGATATCCCGAAGCCTTGAAAGTCATGCGCTGGAGGCAGTTTCGCCTAAATATATCCACCAATCAAAAGCCTTTATTCAAGATTCCAGAGATCGGATTGGTGCATTTCTATACTCCCAACCGGTAGTTCTCGACGACACAGCCCCACACGTTGGTCGGCCAACCGACCGCCGCGTTCTGTGCGATCGAAGCAACTCTTCTCGACGGCATCTCCAACGGCGATGTAGAACTTAAAATCGAATTCAACTTATTGTGTGCCAGCCCTATCTGTCAACGCTTCGACCGTCCAAAGAATGATCTGCGGAGCAAGGACGACCCTTCTTCCTTTGACGACGATGGCCCGGACGAGATGGATGCTCGAGAGTGCTCCGAGTTTGTTGGGGAAAAGCCTCCAGTGGGAATTGCCGTGACCATCGTGTCTCGAGACATCATTGAATCCCTGGTGCCGTCATCAACACACATCACTCGACACAGATTCGGTCGTTCGTACCTATACGACGACGTGCCACTGGTGCTGCCTTTGACTCGTCGCTTGTACACGCACGTTTCTGCATCGATGCGAATGCCCCACTGCAAATAATCGGCTTTCGTCGCCGCGTCGAGGAACGCGTTGAGCTTCTCCACTCGTTCTTGGACCGTTTTGTCTGTAAAGTTGTTGAAGAGCGTCTTGTTGGGCAGCTCCGGGATGTCCTTCCGCGCATACCCGTTCTTGGTCTGGAGCGTTGTTGCCAGGTTTCGAAACGTGCTGTATCGATGCCACACGAACAACGTGCCGCGGTTGTTGGTTTCAATCTGGAGCTTGTACTCGACAAACTGCTTCCCGTCGCGATATGTGAGTCGGCTGTCCACGACCTAGCACACCAGTCACCGTCGATTATTTTCCTCGTGCTCAGAGTGCAAGGATTTACCTTTGCAGACAGGAGTGCGACTTCATCCGCACGAATGATTTTGCTCTGCAACATTGCTAGTTGCGCGCGCAGCCGCTCGTTCTCTTGACGCAAATCCTCGTCGGCATACTCGCGCGCGTTCTTGGTCAGTTTCGCCTTGAGTTGTTCGTTTTCAACTTGGAGCGCCGCGTTGAGCTGCATTGCTTCCTTGGCCGCCTGCCGGGCTTGTTCAGCCATCGCGTGCGCTTCTTCGACGCTCTTCGCCATGTCGTCTCGGACTTTAGCCGACACCACCGCGGACGAAGTGGGCTGCATGGGGTACCGCTTCTTGGGGCTGTCGGGAATCTCCCCGTTGAAATATGGACTTCCCAGCGCCGTTGGCGTCGGGGGTGCCCGAGGCGGTATCGGCGCCTCCTCGCTCTCGCGCTTGACATGGTTTTGCACACTCAATGCTAACTGGGCGTTCGCCTCGGCCAACATGCGAAGCCGATTGCACTCACGAGCTTTGTGCAAAAGCACGCGGAACTTGCGACGCTGAACAAACCCGCGAACGACAGACTGGAGTTGGGGGATACCCTGACACAGGACGTGCCACCGGCGCCGCGCGATCCACCCTCGTACGAACTTCTGAATTGTTCGCGTGGCCTGGATGATGGCCAGGAACTGCTTGCGCTTGGCGCGGCCGCGCATGTGCGATTGGATCAGGATGGCTTGTTTGCGAAGGACGGCCGTTCGTTGTTCCTCCAAGTACTGCAGTAAACCTGAGCTAAAGTACACTTTGGACTTGCCGATGGCAAATTTGGCGTTCTGGGACGACGAGTCTGTTATGCCGAGCTTTTCCAACAGCCCAAGGACCATCGCTTCCGGCGCGGCATGGCGCAGCTTCGGCGGGCAAATGACGTCAAATCGCTTGCCGAACTCGTGCAGCGTGAGCCGATTCGGAAATGCCGCGCGACTGATGCGGATCGCGGCAATCACCCCCGCGCACCGCAGTTGGTCGACAACCATTTGGCGGTCGAATTCCCTCGCGCTCTTGTTTGCGTTTGGTTTGATGCACCGGACGTACTGCGTCGTGGTCTTGGCGACTTGCTCCATCAGTTCGCCGAGTTGCTTGCGGAAGGAGTTGGCAATTGTCGCTCCGACAAGAAATCCCTGCCGTCGCCCCGGTTTGTTGGGTTTATCGTGGGTCAGTTCTGGAAACACGTCACGGATGAACGGCGACTTGCTCGACGCCAGGAGCTCGAGCATGTCTGGCGGCAACGTGTCCTTGTTTTTGTCGAGAAAGTTCTCGCCGTTGTAAATGACGTCGCCCGCGTAGTGGTGAATCTTAAACTGCATCGGGTTCGTGCGGAGTTTTTCAAAGTACTTGTGGGTCGAGAACGCTTCGTGGATTTTCCCGACGAATGCCGCGTCCGTCGCTTTTGCCAGCACGCCCGTTTCGTTGAGAAGATCCACGAGGCCCATGCGCCCTTCGATCAAGTCCAGGATCGGCTGGTTGTCCTCAAACGACACTAGCTCCAACGGAATCCCCTCCGCAATGTACTCGGTCTGGACCGTCTTGAAGATGTCGCTGTTGAACTTTTGCTGGAGCTTCTCGTTCGCGTAGTTGATGCAGAGTTGCTCAAACCCGTTGTGGTCAAACGACTCGAACCCGAAAATATCGAGCAGCCCAATGTGGTGCTTTACGTTCCGATGCGTGCTGCAAATGGCGTTGTTGACGCGCGCGACCAGCCAGTCAAACAACTGGGAGTAAATCCCTTTGGCAAAAGCATCTCGTAGGTCTTCTGCCTGCGCCGCATTCAGCGGAATCGTAAACGTCTCGCCGCGCGCGGCCATCGTCCGGTTCGTTAGAATGCGCTGCAACGCCCCGTCGTCCGTTTGAAGCAGCTTTCCAATCGCTTGCAAGCGATCAACAGACAACACGGAGCTCGTGTCGCTGGACTCTGCCTTAAAAGCAAGTTCCCCGAGGTTCAAAATCGCACTCACGACCTCGAAAATGCCCTGCTGTTCGCGGTAGTCGATCCCGATCGTGTCCATGGCGTCTTTGGTTTCTTGCAGATACTCCGAGTCATCGATGTCGTCAACTCGGGACCCTTCCCCGACTCTGACGTACGTGTAGTCGCCAACAGATCCGTCCAGGAGCAGCGTCTTCTTGATTTCGTGCGCTAGCGAAAACACTTGGTAGAAAATGTGGTAGTTGCGCTCGCCCTCGGCTTGGCCCACCACGCGACTCTTCTCGAGCAGGTACGTCTCGCATCGAGCGCCGACCAAGAGCCCTTCCGCGTTGAACTGGAGCTGCGCAAACTTGCCAAAGCGGGAACTGTTGTCGTTGCGCTTTGTCTTGGCGTTCCCGAACGCTTCCAGGAGCGGGTTCGACTTGAGCACTTGGTCGATCACCAACGACCCGTGGTCTCCGCCGCCAGAGATGGACGCCAAGTGGTTCATCATGATCTTGACCGTTTCAGTCTTGCCGGCCCCGGACTCGCCGCTCACCAAGATGCTTTGCTCGATGCCGTTTTCCTGCATGTCGATATATGCGCTTGACGACAGGGCAAACGGATGCGGCGGTAGGTCGCCTCGTGGTAGTTCGAGGTATTTTCCGTACAAATCCTAGACATGCGTGAGGGGGAAGGAATGAAGAAGGGTGTGAGCACCTTTCGATACAAGTCGAGCCACTTGTACGGGTTCACGGCAATGCAAATCTGCCCTGTGTATGTGTATGGGACGTACAGCGCATGCCGCAGCTGCAGGTTCTTCAGGACGGCCGGTTCGTGGAGGTGGTTGAGTGTGCACATGTCAGGGACGCCGAATTTGCCAAATGTATTGCAGATGGGCATGGCTGTGGCTGACACTTCACCTGCCAGCTTCGCAATCTCGCGCACGTCATATCTCTTGACGATGCCGTCCTCAGGGTCGTGCGCATCGCTGGCGTCGTCCGTAACTAAGCTAACTTCGACCTCAAACTCGGACACCCTCTGAATCACTTGCGCCTTCTTCCACACTTGCTTTTCATGAGGGACCCATACGAGCGTGCTTCCTGTCGACAAAGATTCACGACGCTGCATGATGTTGTAGGGGCGGCAATCAATCCAGGGAAGGATCGATGTCGTGACAATGAATGAAAATGCCGCCGGCGTTTCGTCCGTCCCTGTAGATGCAGAGGCCAAAGACACTCGACTCTTGTCTGGAGGGAATTTCCCAAGATCGTCCAGGGTTGACGGATATTTCAAAAATTCACTCTATTGTGAAAAATTATTCAAGTGACTCAGCAATTCCGCTCGTCTTCTCGCACAACTTACTCAATAGAAGTCATAGTTTATACGTTGCAAAGCAACGAAAGGTACAGCAATGCATACAGATACAACGCCATGGGGTGCATGAAGGCGGCGACAGCTACCGCCCATCCATCGGTGCACGTTCATTGTCCACATCAAGTTTAGACATTTGAGTTGGAAATATCAACGGACAAGTGGGGGAATTGACGAGGCGACGATACGCTGGTACTTTAGAGGGTGGGCGACTGTTACAAACCGCGTTACATCGTGATACTAGAATTCACCTAGTATTACTATCAAAATGAAACAAACATGCAAAAGTTATTGTATTCATCGTCATAAAAGGCCATCGTGATCAAGACAGCCGAATTAATCGGTATATCGCCCAGAGCCGCCGCCGCCGCCGTACGAGCCTTCGGAAGGGTTGTATTCGGGAGAAGCAGGGCTGTATGCAGGAGAGGACGGGCTGTAGGCAGGGGAAGTCGGAGAGTACGCGGGGGACGTTGGCGAGTAAGCTGGGGATGTCGGGGAATATGCTGGCGACGTCGGGGAATAAGCAGGGGAAGTTGGAGAGTAAGCTGGAGACGTCGGACTGTAAGCAGGCGATGTCGGGCTGTACGCTGGAGACGTCGGCGAATACGCGGGGGAAGTTGGCGAATACGCAGGGGAAGTTGGGCTGTAGGCTGGGGACGTCGGGGAATATGCTGGTGAAGTCGGCGAATAAGCAGGGGAAGTCGGCGAATACGCCGGAGATGTTGGCGAATAAGCCGGGGAGGTAGGGGAGTAGGCTGGTGACGTTGGGGAGTACGCGGGGGAAGTCGGCGAGTAAGCAGGGGAAGTCGGCGAATACGCGGGAGAGGTCGGCGAATATGCAGGAGACGTGGGTGAGTACGCCGGAGAGGTTGGACTGTACGCGGGGGAAGTGGGGCTGTAGGCAGGAGACGTTGGCGAGTACGCCGGGGAAGTGGGGCTGTAGGCCGGGGACGTGGGACTGTAGGCAGGCGAGGTCGGGGAGTACGCAGGCGACGTCGGCGAATAGATTGGGGACGTCGGGTTGAGGCCTGGACTTTGAGCGTACCCTGGGCTTTGTGAATAAGGCGATGTGGGCACATTGTGTGGGGAGAACGACACAAACGGCGAGAATGACCCGGATGGACTCATGAGAGGCGACGTTGCGCCGGGAGTTCCGAAGCTTGGCGTTCCTGGGGCAGGCGTGCCATACATGGGCGTTTGGCCCCACGGGGTTGCCATGGGAGTGTTGACATCCGGTGTCGTGTAATCCTTGGAAAATTCGCGCATGACGTTTTCAATTTCCGACGCGTCGTATTCGATCGCCTGGCTCAGCTTCTTGGCGTCCAGCACCAAGTCCATGACGCCCGTGCCCAAATGCGCCAATTGCCCCAACATGATGTTCTCCGTCACCCCCGCGAGCTCGTCCCCTTGACTGAACATGGCAGCGTCCATGAGAATCTCGACCGTCTCTTCAAACGAGCAGCGTACGAGAGGTCCAGAATCCACGCGGTTGATGCCATGGCGCGTCACGGCCATCAAGTGGCCACGGAACGTCATCACGTCGGCCAAACACGCCAAGTGGCGGTAGTTTACGTACGCGCCATCAAACGAAATGACGTTGCGGATTTCGTTGAGCAGCGCGCGACGCACCGCTTCGATCCCAAGCACTTCGATGATTTCGACAATATCGTTACTGATCGTGCGCGATGCGTCGATGGATTCGTGGCAGATGATGTCGAGCAAGTTGGTCCCATCCGTGTCGAGCACCCATTCCTTGACCATGATGAACCCCTTGCCTTCGTCCCACTGATTCTGCGGGTTCTCGCGCATAAACACCTTCTTCACGTTCGGCACGCCACGCAAACGCATTTGGGTCAACATGTTGTGCTCAACGCGCTTCAAGAATGTATCGTCTTCCTGGCCAACGCTTGCGCTGCCGCTCTGCGACACCTTGTCTTCTTCCTCGCTCATGATACGGATGCGCAGGACCAGTTTGTCAGCATTATCATCCGTGTAGATGCAGCTCAAGTCTTGGCCGTATTCGTTTTCAATTTGGAGCGCAATTTCCTTCATCTCCAAGTTCTTATCGGCCATCATGATGCGGTTCAACTCAATACGCAACAGCCACGGCGACCGTGCCAATGGCGTGTCTTCGTCAATCACATCGTAGTAACTCGCAACAAAGTCCGCATCTTCCTCGACCACCGTCGACGTCGGGTCCGGGTCGTAGTAGATTGCCGTGCTTGACGTCACATCCATCAACGTCGTGTATTCGAGGGTCGATTGAATTTGCTTGGCTTTTTCGGCATCGTGCGCGCAATCGGGCTTGAGGTAGATCTGAATCGACGGTGTCTTGACGTCCTTGGCGATGTTGATGATTTCCTTGAGACGTGGTACCCCCAACGTTACGTTCTTAGCCGACACACCGGCGTAGTGAAATGTGTTGAGCGTCATCTGTGTGGCGGGTTCCCCGATACTTTGCGCCGCAACGACACCAGCCATTTCACCGGCAGCGACCAGCGAGCTCAAGAATTTCGACTTGATTTCGCCCATGAGCCTGCACAGCACACCGTCACCTTTTCCACAAGACACACGAGACAACGTACCATTCAAATGCAGAGTTGTTCAAGCGATACTCCAACAACACGCGCTTGACAGCCAGCGTCGAACGAAGCAGGATCTGGAACAACAGGGTCGCATTTTCTTGTGCTTCCACGGACAAGTGGTCGTCGCCCTGGACGACAATGATCTCGCGGCAAAGTTCGCGAACACCAACGATAATGTTTTCGGGATGCAAAGTCGTGGGATGGAGCAGCGAGATAGAGAACAGTTGCTGTGCGTTCTGAATCAACCGGCGCAAGTTCACCGGCACTTGGGCCGCTTGGTCACTTTCTTGGCCTTGGCCTCGCGACCCCAAAATCACGCGCAAGTTCAGGCGGTCCTTTTGGAGCTGGATGAATTCTTCGCGCAGCAACTGCTGTGTGACGGGGTTTGACTGGATGTCTGCAATGATCTGGGGGTCCATATACAGTTCGTCAGGGCAATGGGGCAGCGTCCCCAAGTCTTCGTCGAATGGATCCAGCTTGAACTTGGCCTCAAACTTGGCACGGTTCAGTGTATGGCCGTCAAAGCTTTGCTTTTCGACCCACACAGCGTCCATGCCATCCTCGCCGTACAAAAACTGGATGATTTCCCCGTTACTGTTTCGCACCGTGCCGTCGTACCGCGACATGACACTTTCCATGGCTTTTACCAACCGACGTTGAATGTACCTACCGCCGCGCATGTCAATCGCACGCCAAGTTGCAAAAGAATGAGCGCAACAACGCACCCAGTCTCGGCGGTCTTCACGGCAGTATCGATCAAACCTTCACGACCACCCATGGCGTGGAAGAAAAACTCTTGCGGCGTCAACCCCTTCAAGTACGAGTTTTCGACAAACCCTCGCGACTCTGGCCCCAAGTCGTCCTTGCCGTAATGCGGCAGTGTGCGGTGGTGGAATCCATACGGAATACGCTTCCCTTCGACGTTTTGCTGTCCGACACAAGCAATAATCTGCGAAATATTCAAGTACGACCCCTTGGACCCAGACGTCACAGTTGCCTTGATGTTGTTCGTTTCATCCAAACTCCCCTACAATCAGCAGTACATCACGGTCGTTTCGACGCATTAAGATGGACAAACCTGCGCTTCACGACCCGACTGATCACGCGCACTGTTGAGCACAGTGTTCACAAACATTTCAAACGTTTCAATCATCGTGCGACCGGGCTGCAGTTCCAGCTTGCCTTTTTGACCCGTCACGACCAAATCTTGCACTTTAATCTTGGCGTTCGTGATAATGTCGACAATATTCTTGAGCGTCGAAACATCGGCAATCGTGTCGGAGATCCCGACCGTAAAACTGTGCCACACGAGCCACTGGTTGACCAAATACTGCGTCGCACCTGTACGTCCCGGTTAACTTAATTCTGTGGACAAAATTTCGTACCCAAGAAACGCTTGGCCTCGTCGTGTCCAAGTTCGAGGACAGTGTTATGGATCAAACCGCCTGCGCCGGGCCCGATTGTCTTTTTGTCAATGATCCCAGCCAGCAATTCACCGTTTTGGATGATCACGTGGGTGTCGCGGGGGCTCATCTTTCGTCGAAAGGGCAAGTCGCAGTCCTTCTTGTTCTGATCGCTTTCATGCGTCGAGCAGTACCCGATAAAGTTGATGTTGGGGATAATGGTCGACATGATTTGTTTCCCCGTCCAGATGGGGCGGTATTTGCCGGCCTAATCACATGAGTCTAGCATGGTGTCAAATCTCGAGTAGGAGGAGTACCTTTGACTTGTCGGGCAAGAGGATCGCGGGAGTCGGGACCTTGCCGTCCCAAGTGTAGACCCACATGAGCATGTTCATCACAAGATCTTTTTCGACAAAGATGTTTCGCTTGGTGAACTTTTGCACACCGAGTAAACTGTCCTGCACAATACCCATGACAGGCGCGTTACGCTGCGGCGTGATGATGTTCTTGTGCACACTCATGAGCTCTTGCGCTTCTGCGCGCGCCGTCATGGACTGCGGCACGTGCAAGTTCATTTCGTCGCCGTCAAAATCGGCGTTGTACGGGGTCGTGACCGAGATGTTGAGGCGGAACGTCGACCAGTCTAGCACTTTGACTCGATGGGCCATGATACTCATCTTGTGTAAACTCGGCTGACGGTTGAACAACACGTAGTCGTCGTCTCGCAAGTGGCGCTCGACGATCCAGCCGCACTTCAGAGCAAGCTCTGACTTGCTCTTGATGTAGCGCAGATCGATGCGGTTCCCGTCCTCACGGATGATATACTTGGCACCGGGATGCTCCAACGGCCCCCGGCTAATCAACTCGTGCATCAGGACCATATTGAATGGCGTCACGCGCTCTGGAACAGTCAAGTTCATTGCGATACTGCGCGGAACGCCGACTTGGTCGATCGCCAAGTTCGGATCGGCCGTGATGACCGTACGCGCCGAAAAGTCGACACGCTTTCCCATTAAGTTCCCACGGATACGGCCTTCCTTGCCGCGCAGGCGCTGCCGCATCGTCTTGAGAGGCTTGCCGCTCTTTTGCTGCGCTTGAGGCAGTCCTGGTTGTTCATTGTTGACAAATGTACTCAGGTTGAACTGCAGAAGCTGTTCAAACTGCGATATGATGTGTGACGGCTCGCCCTTCTTGACACAATTCAGCAGCGCCAGATTCGCCTTGACGATCGAGGCCAAGTTGTGTGTTAAGTCATCTTCCCCTCGCGCAGCCCCGTCAATTGCGACCGACGGGCGGACATGTGGTGGTGGGACTGGAATGAGTGTCAAAATGAGCCAGTCGGGACGTGCCCACCGCGGGTTAAACCCAAGTGCAATGCAGTCGGCGTCCGTGATGTTTTTAAAGATGCTGAGCACCTTGTCAGCGGGCAAGTTCTGCTTCTTGTCCCCTGAGCCTGGGATGTCTTCCATGGTTTCGGGGAACTCAACTTGCAAGCTGATCCCCACTTGCCGGTACTTTGGCAAACGCCCCCCGCACCCGCCGTGGCCGACGTCCTTGGGCGCCTGTTCGTTCGTGATGCCGCCCTGCAAGCCGAGGTTCCACCCCTCTTGCACTTTCTCCATATTGGACTCGTCACCGTACTCGCACATGCCCTTGTTCTTGCAGATTTCGTACACCATTTTCAATCGGCGTTGGCCGTTTTTTTGACGCATCGCTGCGCGAAAGCGATGATCCCTCTCGTCCACGAGAATCTTGGAGCAGTGGAAGCAAATGCAACTCAAGATTTGCTTGCAGATCTTGATAAATCCAACGTGAAACATGGGACGGGCAAGCTCGATATGGCCAAAATGGCCCGGACAGTCGTTCACTTTCGCACCGCTGCCACTGTATGTGCAATCACACGTCTTGCACCGCGCTCGAAAGTCACACGTGCCCATACGCGGGTCCCCAATACCGCCGATGACGGGCTGGCCGTTGATGAACGTCTCAGGGCGTGTGATCCCGTCAGGAATGATGCGATCGTTCACTTTGATCTGTTTCGTGACACTCATCTGACGCACCTCGTCGGGAGAGAACACCCCAAACTGGAGGTACTCCACGCGCCGCAGACGCGCGGATGAGTACGAGAATTGGGACGTGCTCATGGAGGTGTCTTGTGAATTCGCTTGCGCCACGGCACAAATTCAAATTGCACAATGAGAGAATGGAAACCACACAAGCAGGAATTGCTGCAGGGCCGAATAACCTGTCAAATCCGATATTCAAAATAGAGGGGTCCAATATCGCGCCAAGTGTCAATTGCGTTAAACGAGAGCCCCAGCAGCCGTTTGAGGTGCGGACAACAGTAAAACGTAATTTAACCCAACTCAAATTCACCACTGCTGACATCTGAAATCTTGTCATCGACCCCGCCCCTTCGGCTTACAAAATGCACGGCCGCGATGAAGTGCTCGATAGAATCACTTGTTCATGCTTGAATGATGTCTTGCTGGGTCCTGCCGATTTCATCGAAAATTGGGCTCGACTGAACGGCGCAAACACTGTCCCATCGCTTCGACTATTGCTTGCTGCCAGCACGTCCTTTCAGCCGGGTCCTCTCCTGCGCACGCGACGACGTACGGGTTGTGTGAGAGCTCGGGAACGCATCCACATAATGCCATAATGACTCCACTCAACCAACTGCGACGGGTCGTATCAAGGTGATTTCTGGCCAAAACGTCATCCGCAATTTATATCGTTGAAAAGTCGATGCAACGGCCTACAGCTTCCAGCACCTTGTCAAACAGATTCATTATCTTACAACGACCTTTCGGTCGGCATCCATCGTGTTGGCATGCCATCAAGCGCGTCTTCCTTGTGTGATTCGTTACGAAAGCAGCGTTTCCTCGTCCACCGCGACCCACGTCGAAATCCCTTCAATCGAACGTTACACCCGATTCATTTCCGAATTTCATGCTTTTCATTGACCAAAAAATGAACAGGAACAGGATATTGGTCTATATAAGGCAATTTTCCAATCTCTCCGACCAATCAGACCAGGTGCCCTAACGAAATGGCTGTCGTTCACGCAACCAGCTTGCCCGTAAGGGACAGCATGTCGGGTTTTATTTGGTTCGATATGAAAATTGGGTGGCAAAACCCGACATTGCATCAAATACCCGATGGATGAAAACTATTGATACAGTCACGCTCTGGTCGGCATCGAAGGTAGTCAGTCTATTATATTCGCTGCCCCTGAACAAGGCATTGATGGCAGCAGCGTTCGAGGAGACGTCCATGGGCGCTCTTGTGTGGGTGCCCCACGCCGCGGAGGTGTGGAAGAAGGCGCAGATCATTCAGAAGGTGTCGGACACGCAAGTGGAAGTGCGGTACGTCGCGGACGGTGCCGAGTACGACCCGGAGGACGGCATCTCCAAGACGATTGATGTGCGGGATATCGCCAAACTGGCCGGCGAAGTGTCGTCGAATGCCATGCCGATCTGTAACACGTTTGAAAAGCTCGGCGTGGAGGACATGTGCACCCTTAACCACTTGCACGAACCTGCTGTGTTGAAGAACCTGCAACTCCGCCACGGACAATTCATCCCATACACGTACACGGGCCAGATCTGCATCGCCGTGAACCCTTACAAATGGCTCAACCTGTACCACAAGGACCTGTATTTGCAGTACTTGAACCAACCTCGCGATGAATTGGCGCCGCACCCGTTTGCCCTGTCGTCGAGAGCGTATCTTGACATGAACGAGCATGGAATTGAACAGAGCATCCTCGTGAGCGGCGAGTCCGGGGCCGGCAAGACCGAAACGGTCAAGATCATGATGAACCACTTGGCATCCATCTCTGGCGGCGGAGACCACGGGTCGTTGGTGATCGACCAAGTGCTCAAGTCGAACCCGCTCTTGGAAGCGTTCGGGAACGCCAAGACAAAGCGCAACGACAACAGTTCCCGCTTTGGCAAGTTTGCGCAGCTCCAGTTCAACGCGGAAGGGCTCTTGGTCGGCGCTCGATGCGAGACGTACCTGCTCGAGAAGAGTCGCGTGGTGGGCCAAGCCGAGGGCGAGCGCAACTACCACATTTTCTACCAAGTGTTTTCG